GCGAACGTATGCAGTTCTTGTGTCACCTTCACCGTCATCAGGGGTTTTGTGTTCCATGTTCTCAAAAAGGCTCTCCGGACTTTTCTTGGAGCGCAACACACCAGAATTCACCTTGCTGCGTTTTTTGTAACGCACCGATTGGCGATGGTAGAACAAGCCGTATTCTAATTGTGAGTTTCATATGCTGATTATGTATGATTTATACTAATTAAATATCATGTTGGTAAATTTCTTGAAAGATTTGTTTGAATACTTTTATAATCCAAGCATCAATGTCAAAATCTTCTCAAAGCTCGAGACCTCATGTCACTTAATCCCATACATGTTGACGTAAAATTGATGAAGTAATCAACTAATCGAGAAAGTTATCGATGTGAATGTGATTATTGGACGATCAAATTCTTGAGCAGCATGATAATTGCTCATGGATGCAAGAAAAAAAATTAAGCATGTACCTCTAATTTGCGGAGTCGGCGCATGTTTGAACCTCTCAAGTTCGTCTGCAGTTTGTAGAAGCCGCAAATTCACTCTGAAGAGCAACCGGTCATGTTTTATGAGTTCATGTTTTTGAGTGTGAATTTCATATGTTTGAGCTAGTGTTACAATATCAGTAGGTATAAGCTTTGCAAATTGGACAATGAATCTGAAAATTATATGCAAGTGGGAGTAATTACTAAGAAGTTTTTTACGTCTTTGAACTGCTCGAAGCTTAGCAATTGGGCTACACTCTCTGGATTTTGATACTCATACTTCACAACAATACATCACACCTTGAATCAATTCAGAATTGTGTGAACTTCTACACTCATATCTAAAATCGTCTTATACATTCCTCATTTTCACTTGCGCATATTGTTTCTGAGTCTTTTTAACAAAGATCATGGCCATTGGATTGTGAGTGGAAGAAGAGTAATTTAATGAATGTATCGTTCAAGTTCACGGAGCCCGAATCAACAGAGACGAGATATCGATGAATTACAAGATATCGATAAGTTACGAGATATCGATGAGGATTCTCCAATAACAACAACCCAATGCTGCGAGTTTTCAATCATGGGCTTGGAGAACGGTCTGTTGCAACCATGTATGGTTGTTTCAATGACACAAAAGTTTCTTTGGTTCTAGAGAGGTATTTCATACCTTTCCATCATAACTATTTGGAGAGTATTTTTTGTCTTCTTCAGCACTAGCACGTGACACAAAGGAGAATTCAAAAAATCTATAACTTAAGATAACTATCATGAAAGATAATCAACATCTACTTTACTCGTAGACGTCAAACCATAATAGCTATTGTTTAGTATAAACTAAGGGCTTGTGTCTTCGGATCTTGTCTCAAAATGATCACTATAATTCTACCATTCTCAAGTTGTCCTTATCTTGTTATCTGCCATTTGATTTGTTGTGAAGTATCTCGCCTAATAAGATGCCAATAAACTTGTCTTGCGATCTTACGGATTATCCCAAAAAAATCAAGATTGAAAAGATACAATGGTTTGTAGTTCATGAAAGTAGAAAAACAAATCCAGTTGATTGTCGTCAATGTCATGATGAAAATATACAACGTGAAAGTTTTAATTCATCCTTAAACAACTGAATACAATATATCACAAAGTATTGCAATGAAACTAAAATTAATGTTGATGAAGTATATGAATGATAAAAAGTAACTGCCAAACGGAAATTAATTAAAGTAATTAAAACACTACCACAATGTGTATAATTATCTATAGATAGAAAAAATGTTGAATAGAGATTAATTTGTTTGACTTGATATGATGTCAAACTAGGAATGCAATAGATGGAGAAAATCTATGGATAACTTTAGATCTCCAAAAGAAAATTTATCTCTTTTTGTGATATATAAAGCATCTAATTTTAGGAATAATATATGTTTTTTAGTACTTATAAGAAATATTGTTGGATCTAATGACAAACTTTATATTTCAGACGTCTTTTCCAATATTTGTATGAAGTTTGAAGATATTTTTTTAGATATTTTACCTGTAGTATTATCATTGAAAAGATGTGTTGATCACAAGATTAAAATAATACTTGAAAACAAGCCAACTCGCAAAGTTTTATATTGTTTAGCTCCAAGCAAATTGGAAGAACAGAAAATTGAAGTAAAGCAGATGTCTACTAAAGTTTATATTCAACCAAGTATTTCATGTTATTTATCTCCGGTGCTATTTCTGAAGAATAAAGATGAAAGCATGCGGTTATGCATTGATTACTCTGGATAAATTCAGCAAACGGTGAAAATCAAATATTCACTATTTTTACATGGATGACTTGTTTGATTAACTTGAAGAAGCAAAAATTTGCACCAAATTGGATCTAATTAACTACTACAACCAGATGAAGATATTCATAAGACAATATATATGGTCACTTTGAGTTTCAAACGATAAGTTTGGCAAGTCATAACTAAATTACTTGGCTCATAAAGTTAGAGCAGAAGTCATCCAAGTGATGTGAAAGAAGATTGAAGCTGTTAAAAATTGAAGAACACTTGAGAATTAAATTTAAATTAAAAAATCTTTCTATGTCTCATCGATTTTTATTGTAGATTTTTGGAAGATTTTGCTTGTTCAGCTCAAACCTTGACATTTATGTTGAGAAAAAACCAAAATGAAAATATAAAACATCTCAAAGATTAGCTTTTCAAGTTTTGAAAGATCTTTTGTAAGACACATCTTTACTCAAATGATACGATCCTAATGATCTATCAAAATGAATATTGATGTGTCAATTACATAATATATATATATTAACATGAATAGTATAATTAAAACAGCTAATCCAGATCATGTCAAAGTGATGAAAAATATTGAAAAGTATACAATTAATTTATTATTAGTCTAAAACACAAAAAAATATGGAGGTTTATGTTTGAAATCATGCATCTTATCAACAAAACAAGTCAAGTAATAAAAAAAAACTAGCAGAGCAAATACAACCTCTTTTTATTCTAGAAAATGATGATTTTATATCAACATAAATTTTTATAGGTAAATCATCAAAAACTTTGTTAAGGTTTGATTTAGTTGTGATTTTATGTATAAATTGAATAAGATGATAACATCAAACCAATCAAAAAAATAACCACAGTTCCACAACTCTTTCAATTATATCTAGATGCAATTTATGTGAATCTTGGATCAATTGAAGTATTAATTCTTGATAGATATGTATTTCATTTTTCACTTTTTTTTAAAAAAACCTTGCTTAATTTTGTTAAAACAAAATTAGCAACGTTAATGATATCTTATGCTCATATGATAAAACGAAGAGAGCTATAGAAGATATGTTTGAAACATTCATATTATAAGTTCAACAAGACTGATATATTTTTTTGACACTCATCTCATAACTACATCACATTTGACGAGGTTTTCAAAAAGAGATTAAAATAGCTGTAGTCAACACTTATGTGAAAGATATTCACAAAGATCTACATAAAATCAAGAAAAAATTGATGATTTTTCAAAATCAAGAAAAGTAGCATGTAGATACTCATGCTAAAGAATTGATTTTTTATCTAGACAATCATGTTTGATTCTATAACTAAACATCATACCCTACTTGAATTTGTCCACAACAAACTTGTGATTTGTATGAACATCAAAATTTAATTTCAAATTCATTGATTTTTTTGATATCAAAACGTGTTGATGAATTGTTATACACATTGAAACTTCTGTCACATGTGAAAACAAATCTTGTATTTTATGTGTCACGATTGAAAAATCATGCATCACGACCAATAAAATTCAACAATCAACCAGCATCATTTCTTCTCTCAACCTTGATTGTTGATCATGAGAAATTTGAAATAAAAAAAGTACACCAAAAAAATTTGATTCCATAAATAAATCAATATAAATTATTTTTTGAAAAAAAAACTGGTAATATGAATCAACTAAATTTCTAGCTAATACAATTTTGATCGTTTTATAATTTGAACAAAAATTGATAATGTTAATTAATATAAGAAAGAAAAATTGTAAATATTTTTAGTTAATCAAAACTAAAGTAAATGTGCATCAAATGTAGAAATATAGATGTATTATAAATTATCTGTATATAAAAATACTTTTGTTTATTAACATCATGTTATCAATCTACTCCGAGTGGAATGGAGATTGTACGTTATATCTTATCTATTTTTAGTTGTTGATAAAATCTATATAAGAGAACTCTTTCTAAGTATCAATCATCTTAAAAATTATGTCATATTGAATAAATTTTTCTCTTAATTTTTAGTGTTATAATGTTAAATTCAATCGTGAACTACATAATTTTAAATATCTCTCTAAGTGAAGGTATCGTAGTTGTATTAGTTTGTTGCTAGCATATAACTTTAAAATGATAGTATTATCATGTGTGTGATGTTATTAGCCAAAACAGTTTGATGTGGATTATCCATATCGTTAAACTTTTAGAAATTTCCTACACAAATGTCATGTCTAATATTGTGATACAACCTTATAAATATTTCACAATCCCCAAGAGCAATGGGTTCTATAAATAATTAAAAATTCTAAACCTGATATTGAATCATTTCAAAAAAATTCATAGAATATTCCAAGAATAGAATGTTCAAAGTGAAGTGTTATAATCTTCCACATATTCAGAAGAAATTATATTTTTTAAACATTATATAACATAGTGTGAATATCAAACCTTTGATCATTTTCAAAGTTCGTACTTGTTTTTCTCACACAGAATACTCTCAACACAATTCCAAACTCAATATACGCCTCACTTCTTGACAATTTTGATTATAGATACTCTTGATGTTTGTGAGAATCAGGTACAACATTAGAAGGCTAAATTATCTTGTTATTTTCTAAATTATTACTATCCAAACCGTCCCTCTCACTTCATCTTGAACATTCTGATCCTCAAACAACTAGCATACAACGAATATTTAATGGATATACGATACGATCGACCCTCATACGCAAGATATCGAAAAATATCTTATTGTTGGTATCCATGTGTAGCAATCTTATGAATTTGGCAACCCCTGCTCGAACATTTTAGAAGTAGGTCTTAAGCTGAAATTAGAAATCATGAATATCGTTAGTTCCAGACCTTAACCAGAACCAAACGTAACCCTGATGGTTGACAGATGCCCACATTCACGTTAATTTCACAAGTCTTTCTCCAGGGCCCACTAGCAGTTGTGGAATATGAAACATCAAGTTATATTTTCCATCGTACGGTTGGAGGACAAAACTGTTTGATTACCTTTTTCTTCTCTAAAATGCCGCCAATTATCAGATGTCCTCTTGGGCAATATCGACTAAGTCCATGCATATCTTCACGACCTGGTGGGGGTCTCACTGCACTCGCTTGTAGGTGGACGTAGACAAATTTCCTGCAATTGATGAACTATCTTCGATCTGTCGAGTTTCATGTTGTTTGCCATACTTAGCACAGATTCCTATGTCGAGAGGGTGCCCCTTCTTCTATCATTCTGACTGTTCACGGTCGATGGGCATCTCTGTTGATGGACCTGAGAACACTATTCCCAAACCATGAAAAATCCTCGGCTTTCGACAGTTTTCATTGATCCCTGTGTGTTGATGTCTCTTCTTATATTCTTACAGCTTATACTTCAGGTTTGTTAAAACCTTGACCAAAACACGTCAAACTTACTTTCCACAAATCTCTTAGGAGACATTGAAACTTCTTTCCAGTTACTTGTCTTCGTGCCGCCGTCGCTCTCTTAATTAGGCTGATTTCTGCGAGTCTTCACATCTGTAGGACCTTAACAGGGTTATGTAGGAAACGAGGAAGATTCTCAGAAGGGCATTCCAAGGGAACTTGAGTTAGAAAAGACGTCTACGTTAAGGGAAGCAATTTTGCTCTTGTACTTGTACGGCCTTGAACCTGTACCGACTTCCTGTTGGTACATTTCGTACCGACTCATTCTTGTCCAGGCGAAAGAACAGAATTTACCCTAACCTGTTGCAAAGAGATCTTAGCTCATTCATCTAAACAATGATCGATTCATTATTATGATCGCTCTCCACCCTCAAGGTACAGATTACACTAACATCACGTCCTCCTGTCGACTGTTTAATACGTAAGCCAATGAACAGCGACGTCCTGAGCAAACCTTCGCGCTCTTCTTTATCTCAAAGTTCAAGACGAAACACACCAGGAAAGCAGTCGTCTGAGCGGTTGAAAAATTTCGACGAGAATTCATAGTGTATATTTCAAATGAAGCGACAATCTTTTACTCATGAATAGCAAAACTCAGGGTCATGATTACGTGATACTGGACGACAAGCGCGGATACCGTTTTCATGGAAGGAGCTAACCAAAATCTACCACGACAGCGGCCATCATTCCTTACATCACTACGGAAGGGACACAGGACTCAACATAATACGGACTCGTGATATGCTTATTAGGCTTAATAAGAGCCAGAGTTGTAAGATTCAGTATTAGCTTGTACAATTTGGAGCAATCAGTTGAAAAGAAGGATCTAAATTTTGTACAGTGCACGGATATACAGGGAAAAGTTTAGGTTTACAAACACATGCTGAACACATTACTCTTGACACGACTCTGTTTGATTGCTGTACATGATTGTCAAACAGCTGCCTTGGGACTGTGTGGAGAACAACCACGCTCAATACACTGCATATGAAGAAACAAATGAAAAAGTTAGTGACAACTTTACAAAAGTATTAAGCGAGTCTAGGAGTATCAAATCTCATCTTTCACAATTTCTCCCATTCGGAAGGCCGTACAATTGAGTACTGGTACTGAGCGACCATAATCAAGGACCACCACTAGCATATTAGATTACGCACAAATCTCAAAGAAGAGTGATAGCAAAAGAATGACACAGCTGCATGACGGGAAGCTGACCTGCAAAAGATAGCCATGTAGCCAATCAAGCGTTTGAGGAAAAGTAGTCGCGGAGATATTCACCACTTTCATTCCCTGCTTTACCAAGATGTTGAAGAATATCAATTATAACTAGAGGACCACACTAGCGTCAATTAACCATGAAGTACCTTTAAAAAGGTATACCATGGTTAATCAACTACAGGAAATATTCATTTCTGCAATTTGAAGATGCGGGCCCTCGTGTTAGAGAGAAGGTAAAAGGAGTTCTGACCTGCTCTTCAAAGGAACATAGATATTCCTGGATGGTTCGCAACTTGCTCACTAAAGCTTCCTTCTCCTGTTAAATACACCACCACAAAGTCCGAAGTTACTTTCTTCACTCTCACCCGATGGAGGTACTCGGTCCTGTTGCCTGCCTAACTGAAAATATAGTAACTTTTTAAAAAGTTCACAGAAGATACATACCTCAGGTGGACCAGTTCCATCCATGGATCTGCAAGCAATCCACTCCTCTAGCAAGGTCTAAGTACAGCAAGAAACAAGTATAGTTAGAACTTGCGAGAAAAACGATTGTGCTTCTTCCAGGGTTCTAAGAATTGAAGTTTGAAGTGGCTTGAAATGTTGTCACCTGGTGATCAATATCAGCCATCCTCAATACTATTGGCACCACAATGGCTTTTGCAGGTGCTTTAATCAGTGGTTTTTTCCCCACATCCTGGTTCCGACCAGGCTGTAACTTAGTTCCAGAAGATACTCCAGAGCTGCTTGAGGCTTCTTTCAATGCTACGGAGGGTTTGTTTGCACCTTCCTCACTTAAACCATTCGCTGGATTTCCACTAGGTCCTCTTAGGCTGGTAGACGCATTCCCTGCATATCCAGAAAGGGAAATATGAAAGGTACATCGCAGATGATAAAAGGTCTTTTCATGTTTCAAATTCTCCTCTTCGACATCCTACTAGACTCGTTATCTTTGCAGGGTGAAGGACTCAGATCAGAAATATATCCGTATCATATATGTAAAATCTGGAGATCATTCACAAACATCCAACACAAGTGACGAGCATACCGCGTCCCTACATTACAGCAAACTCACCATGAATTGTCTGTCCACCAGTTTCGTGTGTTTGTGAACGCAAGGAAAGAGCTAACAGAGAATGGGTAACCACTTCAGTGGGTACTGCTTCTTTCTGCAATGACTGATCGAATTTACCGTCAATGTGCACACCCTCCGATGCAGCAGAGGTCATGGTTTCATCCTTGAGTTCTACATCAGCGGTGGACAGTTCGGGCTTCCTTGATGAAGGCTCAAGCGGGAACTTGCTGGAATGCTGTCCCTCCGATGTACTAGAATTTGAGACGTCACCGTTCCCTCTTAACTCAGCAGTTATTTCGTGAGACTGCTCCGGTTTAGATGATTGTTGCTCGCTTTGAGCACCGTTCGATTCCTTTTGTGACGTTGTATCATTATCTTCATCCATCAAGTAGATTGAAGGATCTAGATGTACACCCTGAGATTGTTAAAGACCACAAGAAACCGTCAATATTCAGCCCTCCTCGTTACATAAAATCGTGAAAGCAAAAATACCGTGTAATTGACACAAGCTTCACAACAAATCGATAGTCGCTGGCACAATCACAAAGTACCTCAATAATAACAGGCTTTCCATCCTTCATTGCCTTTCTTAAATCGCCATCAAGCCCTGCTTTTCAGATTCACGAAAGTATTAGGAGCGCATAGAACTTTCAGTGAGAGAGTACAAAATGAAAGTTCAGAATGCAACACTGACTCCTTCACACAAAAATCAACTTCAACCTTATAAATAAACAGACATACCTTTACGGACTATACGACACTCTCGGCAGAATTCAGTGACAAGTTCGTCAGTTGATGAGAACTCTCTAGCCCAGATTGGCGTGGAAGCAAGAGGAGCGCTGCAATTATTCAAAACGATGCAAAAATGATACTTCGCGATGAATGTACTGACAAGAGAGTGCAATTTTTTAAAACATGACAACAAAATAATTATTTAGATTCATAAAGCCCCACTTCCCCAGAGCAAGGGGCTAGAAGAACAAGTGTGCTCAAGACGAGAGCAGCAGAAGAATATGATGCTAAAGAAAAAGTACTTTTCATTAGCATCAGTACGTATAGGAAGGCGTGATGTTTCAACACAAGACGACAAGACTTTTAGAAACGAGAAGCATTTTCAGGGTCCTATGCAATTTGTGACCTTTCAAAGATTCACACTGTTCTAAGAAAGAGAAGACGAAAGGGCCCAAGAAATTGTACTCTGTTGCAGTTCGAAGAAGCTCGTAAACCATGTCTGTCTGCAAAATCGGACCAGGACCTCGTCGGTATGAGTTTTCTGGACCTCAATAATAGAACAGGTGATTTCATTAACAGTCCATAAAATTGCATGGTGTCATAAAAGAGCACTGATCATTCTTTGCACCTGCAGAACGTTGGGAAGGTTCAAGCGCTGCGCAAGTTGAGTTGCAATTGTTGATTTACCAACACAGGCTGTTCCGCAAACAAGAATGATGAGTGGTACTCTTTGATGATGAAATCTGTAGCAAACGTCTACATTTACTGAGTGCAGATTAAAAATATACGGTGACTCGGCAAATATACGATAAGTCACAATGTATTCACAAGTCCCTTACTACAACTATGAGTCGTAAATTTATTAAAGCAACACATGATAAAAGATAAGTCATAATTTCAATCACGACGAAATGAAATGACATAAGTAAAAACTATTTTGAAGGAAGTTCAGATTTATGCTTTTTGGATATTGATTTGCTTCAGATTTAAGACGTGATACGGGTTCTCTGCAAATGCTTGATACCATATCCATCAAGATACATGAATATTGATGAACTTGTATCTGGACAGATACAAGTTCTTCATTGTAGCTAGAAGATACAAAAACCATGAGACATTATCTACCTGGTCATCATTTTGTAGCGATCAATATACTCAGCTCCGAATCCACGACGTTCCATGAGCTAGAAACAAAACTTATCAGTCAGCTGACTATTCGAGAATAAGAACATCCGTGACCAGAAAAAACATTCCTACACAAGGAATGAACGACGTGACGTCGTTATAGTGTCTTCTACTAGAGCAGAGTTCTATTTTAGAACCCTAAGAAAACCATTGAAAGTGAAAATCTAGCCTGCTGTATATATCAGTCCTAACAATCCAGAACACAGTTGATCTTCCAAATTTTCCCAAGCTTATGAACCCATAAAAAACACAGCCAAGCTTCAACACCCTTCATAATTGATGTGTCTACATCAGTTTTGAGTTCAAGCATGAAGGAAGAATAAAAAGCCACCGAATCGCATACCTTGAATAAGTTTGCCTCGAGATCTGATTGAGACCTGCAAAATTGCACGCACTGGTAGTCAATAACATGTAATTCGTACGTCATGGAGTGAGGGTTCGCACGAAATTGGAAGTTTGGACATAATTGGACCCTGTAAGAAGTTCGTAATATGAGGGAAACCTTGTGTCTAAACAGAAACAATAGCAACAAGAATGAAACTTTCGTACACATCCAGGAGGCTATTGTCGATGAGCATCTTCTTCAGCTCCAATGAAATCTTGATTGCCACATGATTTGGGATCTGATGACATCAAGCAGAAACCCGCCGTTACCACATTTGCATTATCCTCGATAGAACATCGTGTGTAAGTGAGTAAATACGCATGTTCTGTCCAGGAAATTGAGGTTTTGTTATTAACATGAAACATGATCCTGGTCAGTGTACAAACCTTTGTCACTGTCAGCATTCTGCTAACAAGGAACCTCGACAGGACGTAGTAATGATCAGAATTATCACCGAGCCATACACGGACCTGAAAAGACGATAAATAATCAGCACTTTGCAGCAAGTCAAATATGTCTAGAGTTTACACTGGGTCAGATACTTACAATGACATTTGAACGATCAACTCAACGCTGTGGCGTTTCTGAACTAGAGTCTACCTTAACTCTCACCTTGACAAAATCATACTTCGATGATGTATGGCGGGGTGGCCGAGTATTAGCCTGCTGTGTGGGGGATCCCGAACCCCCATCTTCGTCATCATCATCGCTTCTTCCAGCAAAATGCGCTGGTGCCATTGAACCACACAGCAAACTTCGGTAACCTTAAACCTCGTCAACTACACTCGGGCGTTGATTCGGATTCCACAACCTCGATTCCACTCAATCTCGGCTTCAATGCCTGAAAAACCCGATCGTGGGCACTGCAATCAACCAGCCAACTCTCTCCACCCCAAAAGCGCATTTACTCGTTAAGTCGCCGCTCAAACAACCCATTTTCATCTGCCGATGGACATCCCTTTCGGACCCAAGTTCCCAACAATGCTCCGCCGCTACGACTTCGATCTTAACTCTTCGAAACTGCAAGGTCGCGATCAGTCGCACACCACTACAGGAGCTATGATTCCCCAACCATCCGCCAGGAGTCCAAGTTCTCCAGGCGAGGAACAGACAGCAGCAGAAAGCACGCGCAGAGCGAAACACTTGAGACCTTCCAACTTCCGGGGTCGAATTGCGAGCATCTCAGTGGGAGAACCGGAGATCGTCAAAGGGCAAGGAAGGACTCGCAGAGTGCCAATTGGCCGGGTTCTCCTCGGCGTCCGAGATGCGCAAGCAGTGACATGTTTGCTGCGTGAATGCGTGGCCAGCTTTAGTTGACTTCACTGTTCTTTCTACTCTCCTCGGCACTCCACTCCACGACAGGACGGCGCCCGAAACACGCGGAAGCGGCTGCACATGAAATGAGCAATTTTTTCTCCAATTGTCGAAAGATTTCGGATCTCCTCGTCTGTTCCGGGGCTTAGAAATTTACAAATTTGGAAATTTGCTGTCCACATCTGAGGAGTAAGGGCACTCGCCACCGCAATTTCGATCACCAATATATATATCATTCGTTATGCTTTCCGAGAGCATCAACAAGCTGATTTGGCAGAATTTGTGCTGTGTGGCTTAGATTCTCTGCCCTGCCAAATGAAATCGAGTGTTTTCCGTTCACAAATGATTGTACCATGATTGGCATGAAAGTGGCATGGAGACATGTCCATTCTAGCTGCATGACAACACACTTGGCAACAAACACATGTGAAACAATCGATTCCAGGTCATAGTACTTGATATCTTCGTTGTGTGATATTATGGAATCCGGACCTTTTTGGGAGATGATAATATTATATGTGTTATGTGCCATCATTGCACATGAGAAGTATAAAATTGTTGGTTAAGACATATTCGAGATGTGATTCGGCTCGATGCAGAAGTCTTTGAGGCAAATATGCAATTTTACGCACACACACGGAGTATACTATATACTAAAAATGAGCATGGTATTTTGTTCACAGTAGGTACAATGTAATTATCTAACATATCAACTTTTTTTTTACTAATGATGTAATGAGGTGTGGCAATTGGGACGTTTGAACCCTTGAATCTTTGCTAAGTTGTAGAGCACCTATGAACCTCTAATGGTTATTCAAGCTAGATGTTGAAACAAGAATAATATCAACCTACCCTACAGCGCAATAAAATTTCTATGATCTACATCATTCTAATGCTTCCGATCTACATTTTCCATGGTTGGAAGCTCAGTAGCATCTTACCAACGGACTAAATCTCTCCCAAACCATTTTAAATTTTGTTTCCATGGTTAGCTATCAAAAGTCCAAAAATCCAACACTCTTGGAGATCACTACTCTAATTTGTGCTGTTGTCTACTCAGTATACACCGAACATAAACGAAAATGCAGTGGAAGAACATAAAGCTTATTATACTCTTCTCCTGTCGTAAGTTTCTTGAGAGATTTGCTTGATGGACCCCTACGGAAAGTAATTTGCTTGATGTGACCCCTCAGGTTTAGTTTTACCCGATGGGAGCCAACAACGGTGTGACGTCGGACATAGTTCTTGTAACTACGATTACTACTAGTTACAATGCGGGAATTACAATCAGAGATCAATCCCTGATTATAATTTCTGGTGGATTATCACGAGGACACATATCGATTTTGCTCGAGGTGCAATTTGTTATGCTTCAATTCTTTCCACCGCAAAGATTCGCGGATTTCTCTGTTGCCTCCCACCTGCACACTCCTGCCGTAACCCTACTCAAGTCTCACGATCACCCATTTGTGACGAACAAATAAACTCCGGATGAACATTTCTTTGCTCCTTTCCTTGGAGAGTGGCTGGATACAGAATGACAACATAAAAACAAGTGAGTGTGATGGAGTGCGAAGTCCACTCTGTCTGCGTGTGCGGTGGACTCGTTGCACTCTCTCTAGTTGTTATAAGAACATGGGTGACGGTGCATCGTTCATGGGTCCCATCGGGTAAAATGAAACCTGAAGGGTCACATCAAGCAAATTACTTTCCGCAGGGGTCCCATCAAGCAAATCTCTCTATGTTTCTTCGAATCACTAGTTTGCCACCATTTGTTTAGCCCATGCGCTGTCACTTCTTCTGTCACCATTTGTCCACACGTATGTGTAGTTAATCGCGGAAACTTTGTGGTTGATGTTTACATAGCTGGTATCAGTCCATGGGACATCAACTCTTCATCAGTCATTTGATCATGTCTGGATCAACACGTGGGTCTGGATATACTTTTGATCTATTTTCATTTCCACTTTCAGTCTATTACATGCATTGTCAACCATTTGTTTGCGATTTGTTGACATTACTGACGTTGTTCAAGCATTATGCGTTGCCTCGACTTTAATGTGAAGATCGAGTTTCAATGCCTCTTGGTTAAATCTTCAGTAAATGAAACTCCTGGCTTCGGTTGCATCCGGTGTTTCCGTTCCACTGCATTAGGGCGTCTAAGAGCTTTACGATTACAAATGGGATAAGCACTTCAAACTTTGGTTGGTCATTGAGTCATTCACGGCCCTCGCTAAGAATCGAGTCTTTTACCAGCGAAACACGCTTCATCAGTCACATCACGCTGTCTCGTTAAGTGCCATAGATGCTCTGATGTTCAAATTTTGACCACCATCCCGCCAGAGGAGAGAACAAACAAAAAAACTTGTGTCACGTGAATCGAGCTTGGTTTCGAGAGTTTCCTTTCTCCAAAATCCAGGCAAGCTCCAAAGAATACTTCATTTTGACACTGTTGTGGATCATTATACAATTGATCCTACAACATTTCGCTTTCATTGCTCTGTTAATTTGTAAAACCTAACTTGGAATCGCTGTAAATTTGTGAAATATATGAAAACAAATTGGAAAAATCTTTCTCAAGATTCTTGTAGGAAATAACAGATCTGACAAACGAACTCCACAGATGAACCACTTTCTCCCACCACTTCAATACAGGCTGTATCTGCTCAACAACGGAGTCCAATAGTCCAATAGAGCAGCCAGCACAGCCCTTGGACCAGGTGAGAAACCAGGGTTCATTTGGAAACATAGACGTCATTGAAAAACCAACACGAGAACACATCAGAACATGATTAGTGAGAACTAGGAATAGCAGTACAAACCGAAAATCCACAAAACGATCTTGAGTACAATGACCAACCACAAGAGCCACAACGAGAATGCAGCCACCTTGGACTTCAAGATTATATACAAAATGTAACTCTAAATATTTAGATATTCGGTATGATTAGACATTCGGTTTGCGGCTCAACGTGTTAACACATATAAATCACTTGCTACTCCCCTTTGGACTCAAGACGTTCTCTTTCATAGATTCATCTCTGCAAAACGTAGCAAGATATCATACGGCAAAAGGCCCAAATTATTGTGCTAGGACTCTCAAGTAAATTTCATCCGCTTCCCAAGGTACTGATAATAACTGTAGCTAAACAACAGTAGTAAAACGCGTGGTTAGATCTGCAAAATTACCAAGACTATGAAGTCCTTGAGCTACCCAAACAGATGAATTTGCTTAGGCGTAAGACTTCACGCCTCAACTACGCCAACTCTTGTGAATAGGCACAGTTCAGGCGAAATTGGTAGTGAAAAGGCTATTCCGTGCAGAAACAGGCTGCTTCTTAAGTACGTTCCTGGAATGCTTTTCAAGTTTCAAACGAAACAGAAAGATCCCACCCTTGATGTCAGATGTCATGCATCTTTATCAACTCTAGGAGAAGCCACCAGAAGGTAGTAAACTATGGAATTGTTAGACTACACGAAACATATACTAATAATGAATGCCATTTTCTCATGCGGTACAATGTTAAACCAGATCTAGAAAAGAACGGAAAACGTCTGCAACACAGTTCAGCTGATTTACACCTGTGGATGCTCACGGAATTTTACTCAAATAATAAAGACTCCTTGGTAAGAGAAGAGGAAGATAAAAATATAACCTACTGATTTCGAATGGTGAAGTAGAAGAAGAATGTTATGCTGCACCTGTCACACACGTTCTTCTCTCCCAGCTTGTAAAATACTTCAAATAGGAGCATCCTGAAAGTATTTGAGCAAGGCTAGGGTCGAAGTGCGCTCTTACCTTCCACGAACTCAACAAAACATATAATCTTGCATGGATTGTGACCAGTGTACTGGAATTTGTGCATGACACAATAACACAGGTACCCTGCCTGGGCTGTGCATCAATGGCTCCACAAGTCAGAATTATCGTTGAATGTTGCACTTCAATGACTGAACTCGACGATCGCAAAAGACTTCAACGCCAGACTATGTTTCGAACCCGCTATTCCTGCTTTAGAATGAGGCGCTCCGCTTTCATACTAAAGAATATGGAACTAGCAAGGAATTTTGACTACAGATCCCAAGGCAAGATATTCTACAACATCCGTTCTTCAACAACGATACATTTTGCACACGAACCTCAACAATAAGGAGTCGTGCAAGCAACTCCGCACATCAACCTGCAAGTGCAAATTGCTACAGACAAAGTACCATACACGACAAGAGGTCCGAGTTAGACGTAACCTCATATGTATCTTTCAAACTAAAGGATGCTGAGGACCACCAAAAACATAAACTATACTCATTGTTGATTGGGACAATTGCCCCACATTTGACCATGCCTATCCCTCAGAGCACTAACAACCATGAACTGACACACTTTCACGTTGTTTCACATCAATTGGTGTAATCTGATTACAGGACACACCATGACGACGTAGGATCCACATGGATTATACTGCTCCAGCTAGCTAATGTGGCCACCGAAAAAATTATAGGATGTAAGGAAAATACGTCCAAGAGTTGACATCAGTGTCAACATCTATTGACGGTTGGACGCTTGTGCTGGATGAATGCCTTAACACATGGCATGCATTCAGATTTTATCACTCCGTATATCATGTCAACCACTGTCCCATTTACAAAGTGCCATAAACACCTGGTACATTAGAAAATAAAAGCTAGAAGCTCCTACCTGAGACTTGTGATGATTTCTGACAAAAGAAATGCCACCTACACCAGAGGCGCGACACTTGAGTACGCTCCTGCAGTCTACACAAGTGCTATCAACTGACAAAATATCCTAGTCAGAGCAGAAGGAAGACATGTCACGTTCTCGATGTAGAATCAAAATGCCTTCTAGAGCTTGGACAAACGCCACTTTATACAGTTGCTTTCAGTTGACTCGTGCTAGTAAATAACTTGGCCCTGAAAGCCTTAATCCAATAACAATGCCAAGTTGATGTGTGCAAAAAGGATGTCCCCAGCTAATGCATATGCTTTGACTACCATTCGACTGAAAATCTTTACCGTCAAATTTGAAGTACCTGAGGGAAAGGCCTATAGTTTGTCTCTGCACCAGAGCCATCCTCCATGGAATACTTATCAACAAAAGTATTGACTCCAACGGCATCACTTGACTGCTGCATAGGACCACTACTCTCGGAACTCGCAGCTGACTGCATTCGCCAACGTTCCTGCCACTTGTGCTTCAAACCCATACAGGTTCTCTCACTTCTTTGATTCCCAACCGCATTTTCATCTCGATTGCTAATGGTAGATGTTCCCCTTGGGTCCTCGTTAATTACAGAAACAGATACTCCTAAATTTTCAAACTTCTTTGTTTGAGAGATGTCCATGGCCGTCCAGTACCTGTACTTCTCAGACTCCTCTAACATGGGTCTGATTTCTATACCACGTAATGAGGTTGCAGTTGCAGGGCGGAGACTTGTAGTCATAATACTAAGGTTCACGGCCATTAGATTATGGTCCGTATGCGAAATATCATCTGGAGTGTCCGAACTGCAAACAAAACACACATTTTTTTAAATAGTTGGTGGGCCAGAGAACCACAACAGATTTATAAACACATTTCTGGACCACAGCGGAAAAGAAATACAGCAGTCACAGCCACAAGCCTCACCGTCACCAGTGCTAAAGAACAACGTTCAAAGCCTGTCACCTGGGGGTATACTTTGAGATTACTTTGAGTATTCACCGACGTACCATGAATAAGATTCATCAATCTCTGTTTCAACCCTCTTCAGCCGTTTCCTTGGAGATTCCAACTTCGCAACCTTGGACATAGAAGGTGCATGTTTTTCATCCCCTGCTTGTCCGCTGCTGAAGCAAATCAGGACAGCTGCCGCTTCCTCTTCACTTATATTATCCATCGCAGCTCCATTCGCCACGTCACTTCTCAATCCACCGCCATCGTTATTAATGCATGTTCTGGGTCTTCGCATCGTCCGATGCTTTTTCACAGGAGCAAGAGGTAGGCTTTCACACTCATTAAAAAGCTCTGCTGCATTTTGCAAAGCAGCTTTGGCTTTCGATACCCTGAAAATAATGAGAACGTGTCGTACATTAATAACGAAAGCCACACTAACTACGCGTATTCATGTGATTATCAACAAACAATATAAGTGTAAAGTAAAGCTTAAGGACCGAAAACATGAGAGAAAAACCCTTCACGGCTATCATGACTTCTATACGGATAGCAGGAGATCAACCTCATAGGTTTATCAACTGAGCCTTATCGCAGAGCACAAAGATCAGAGACGTGAAGGACTACGCACAGTAAACACGTGACAAGCCAAGGCATACATGTGTAAGAGGCAGTGCAGCAAAGAACAAAACGAAGGTCTAAATCGTCTAGTGAGGTGTGGGCCAGCACGGTGGATCCGACCGATACCGGTGACCATCCCCGACAGCTCAATGACAAGAAACAGTGTCAAATTCGCAGTTCAGCGGCGTCATCAGGGTGTACCGAGGTGCATGGGTTTCTGCCCATAACCGCACGAGACAGGAATACATTTGCAACACGCAACACATCTACCCGGCAGACCAGCCAATGCCGGAGAGCAAGCCTGGTCTGGTTATTTCACTGTGTGTGTGAAATAATTTAGCAATATCGAATGTTGCTCCAAACAAGCGGCAGGAACTATGAATATAATTACAAACGTGCCAGTAGACTGGAGCCCTATTGTGACCTGCATATACCAAGATGATAAAAAGCATTGCACGCGTGAAGCGAACAAACTGTAACCTACTTGAATGAAGCTTGAAGTAAGAAAATCCCGTGGAGTCCTGTCCGATCGAAAATGACAGGAGTTGGAAGCAAAACAAGCCAATGCAATCCATTCTGAAGGAAATTGAATGAAGGAAAAGAGCAGCAAGTCGTACGATGTCGAAGCAACATAAATGTAGAGGACAACGAAGTAACGAACAGACTGGAAGAGCAATGTTAACTGGTACCTTGAAAGTGCCCAGGAAAGAATGTCAAACCTGGATTACCAATGCTGAATATAAATCCAGAGGCTTCAGTCAACCCAGAATATAGGTTGGATACATAAAGATGGAACCAAGTCATACGTTCCAACGCTTACCGAGGATACACCAACTAATCTTAGGAACTGTAACGACGGCTGAGACTACTAGGACTTCGATCATCATATCGGCTAATGTCTAATTAAACCCAAAGTTCACCCTTAGCTTCCTTCAATATAATAATTCTTCCAAAGGTGTCTTCAATGTAACACATGCACATATCAACCAGTGTTCTCGTCATTTGTATCATATGTCTTTACTTGTAGTTTGAACGCGCAAGAGAGAAAAAAAAAAGTTTCTTATTAATTATTTATCCATTATGGAAGTTCATCACAAGCTTTCTAATCGTTACCCACTGTAGAGGATGTAGGCTACTTACTTAACAGCTGACTTGCTTGAATTTCCAAGGGAGGACGCCTTATAACCGAACAAGATGGAGTCCTTTCCGTCTCCCTATAAAATAAAATTCAAAAAGCTTCAGCATTCTGCCTTCATCTCTGTGCTTCAAAACGGAAACATCTTACTATTCGATATGCTAGTTTGAAGCCAATAGTTACTCGGCAATTTCATCATTTTGTTCCCGTACGTCTGTATAGAATTCCAAGCAAAAAGATGAACTGTGACGAGAATATACCAAACAAGTGTGCGGTTCTGGTAAGATAGTGACGGAGCAAAAGAAACGCCGACGAAAAAACACAGAATTCAAGATAACGAACTATTGTTCCTGAGGTGGAACGTCCCAGTACAGTCTCAAACAGGAGCTGGTCACAAACCTCAAACAACCTGCAAGCATGAGCCTTCAATTTGACGGCCATGTCATAGGTTTCTGTACCACTTTTGTTGTAGACCTAGAAAAAAATACCATCAGTAGAGTCAACTAAATCCTTAGCATCGTTAAAGCTCTCGAGCAATTCCAATTAAAGGGGTGATAAAGTAATTAAATTGCATCCTCAGGAAAGGTGAGAATTTGGAAACCAACCAGAGCATTCGTGACCATCAACATCAGATCTCGCCGAAGTGACTCCAGATTGTAGGACTCATCACTCTGAAAACAGAACATCAAAATAGAGCTGAGAACTCATTGCTAACTTCGTGCATGAGAGCAAATGGAAACAACACCTCCTACTCTCCTGATGTAATCACCTCGAGCTACACGGCAGTAAAGCACGATCATAATTGTGGTGGTCACACCAATCAATACTTGCACATAGAAATAGGAAAATTCAAGTGACTTTCTAAAGTTTCATCCACCGTGTGAAAGAAAACCCGACAGAACAACACAAACCTCGAGCTGTCGACGAATGGTGCTGAGATCTATGGGCTGCCTGATAATCGAGTTATAGTCATCCAGCAAAGCTACAGGTCTGCATTTCATATTTACAGGAATCAAGAGATGTCGACCATGGACGTGTAGAAGATGACAATCAAGATATACATTATAACAATCGAATATTCAATGCTGACATGAACGTTCAATAATTCTGACTACAAAGTACCTGCGAAAAGGAGCAGCGTGCCTGGATGCAGACACTGCTTTCCATATGTCCAGCATCGGATCTGATTGGGCCCATCGTTTCCTTCTATTCTCAGCATGTCTGCCAAAGCAAAAAGTTTAAGATGCCGTTTGCCTATCGATTTTTACTCAAAAATTTTAGGAACATATTCAACGTCACGATATATTTATTTTTAGGCCAATTCTTTAAGACAAAGTAATTTCTATGAGTTGTGGCGGAAAGAATGCGAGCTGTCCAACACTTATACACATTCCTTCATCTTACACGTATCAAAACTGAATTTGGCTACTCCCAAAGAGCGCTTCTTAGCGCTCTGAAGCCCACAAGCAATGACTGGCGATGGTAATCAAGGAAGTGAAAACAAATCTTTCTCATTAGTTATTGGCCAAAGGCACAAAGAGAAGTAATAAAGAACCATGGACAGTAGAAAACCTTACCTTCCGTTTTTCCAACCAAGCTTCTCAACTTGTGGCTTCAGATGGCTTGTGTTACATTCGGGCGAATGTTGACCACAATTGTCCTTTCGATCATGATCCAACTGATATGTCCCAGTATCCATTGTGTCGTCACGTTCACTAGCAATATCACCTTTAAGTCGTCCTCCATTATGAACATAAGCTTTTCGTTTACATGAAATCCGCACCTCCCCATCACTGATGCATATCAGATTGTCAGCGCCACTGCTTTTAGATTCACCCGTTGAATCACTCTTCCGGTCACTAAGAAATCCTACTTCCGATTGTTGAGCAACTGCACAAACTGAGTAAAGAGACTCGTTCAGAACTAATACGACAGACACGCAAATCATCATCTCTAACGAAACAACTCAGGAAAGGGTGTATGCTATGCAGCTCGAAATTGAAGAGATGGATGACATATGAAGTAATAGATTTTAATTTGATCATCTACGCATCTCATAAAAACTATCGGCTTCATAGACCAGTGCACACAAATCTGGAAACTCCCACGATCATCACTTACAAAGCTCTTCAAGTCCATTACTCTTCCTCAAGACCAGGCAGCCTGAAGACTTTTCAGCTGTTTGCTTACTCCAATGACAACCAATCGAACTCCATGGACATCCGCTTGAATCAGCCAAGTTTGTAAGACAAGCCATACTTTCCTCCCCTACATTATAACCACCGTTTCGCTCATCTTGAGTTCCGTTCAGAAGAGAATTCTTCGGAAGCTGTCTGAGAGCAACAAGTTGAAGAGCCGGCACGACTGAGGGGCCCATAACGAACTCCGTCATGTCCTTTCAACAACCGGGACAACAGCGTCTACCTCGATCCAGATTTTTCCATCGATACCTGCAAGTCAAGATTCCTACTTTGAGCACTAGTAAAATGCCTCAGAAGAAGACAACATAGCGGAATAAAAAACACAAGAGATCACATGGCTAATCTTCACAGAATGTTGCATTTATGCGCAATGAAATTACTCATACCAAGCCAACTGGCTTGGTATGATCTGATGGCACTACATCTGATGATGACTCGAGAGAACGGAGAGACGACAAATATTGGGACTTTTATAGTCATGTGGAGGGTAGATTGGTAAAGATTGTCTTAACTGCCTGAAAATTCTGAGCTATTCATTTCTAAAGACATTTCCCACTACAACAGAGACCCTCTTCAGTCTCATGCGGTCCTCTCTCACTTTCCTCATGCTTCTACCCCGAATTTGTCTCGTCCAAATTTATTCTGTAGATTACTAGCACCGGTCAGCTAGGGCACAAGGTCTATATCTACAAACTACGACAATGGAAAACGACAGTGCAGTATGAGGATTACAACTGTGGCGATGTTATACCACAGCTTCTCTTTCAGAATTGATTGTATCATTTCAGTAATTGATCTCCTATTTCACATATTCGTACACTTCGTAATACAAACAGGTCTTCTTCATGGAATTAGTGGTAGATACACTTTCTAGTGGATTCATTTACGTCCTAACCACTTCCGTACCAATTCGACGAAGAGGAACGGGAAGAAGGCACCACATTCATGATGTACTTGTGAAATTTGGTGTCTTATCATTAATACCCGGTTTATAAGGTATTTTAGAGCACAGCCTTCTCGTTAGCGGCAAGAATCGCAGGTTAATGTCCACCAAGAGACTGTGTTAACCGTTTCTTCGCTCTAATATATAGTCTGAGAAGAGAGACCTACCTACTGCGACATCTTGGATCTAAAAACCCCCGTCAGACAGTATGGCTTTTAAACACGGATGTAAATAAGCACCAGAGGGTGATGTGGAGAAAACTGCAGGAAGTTGAGCACAACACCAAGAGCACAATATTCCTAACAGGCAATGTAGTGAATTCTTCCTGATCTTTCAGGAAATAGAATACGGCTGATCTCTCAAATAACGCTTTTCAACACCATTATTTAACCATCCTGGTAATCAACGGACAATCTGAAGAGCTATATCAGCAATCGAATTGAGGTGACCAAAAGAATACCCTCCTGTCCACATATGCGTACTGCACAGAAAGTTTCAACGAGCGAACAGCAATATAAAGCTCATATTCTTACTCGATGCGCAACCTGTAGAATTGCCTATTGTCGACAACCATCTACGTTTCTGATGAAGATGATTACGTCAAATTCTGAGAACTGCGTTCGCAGACCGGTGCTTGCGAATTCTAGGGCTCATCCCTGTAAAATTTTCTGGCTAAGCAAAAAAGACGGAATAAATTCAGAAAATCCCAAATCTTCACATACACTTTGGTGTGTAACGTTTGATACGCCAGGATCGAGCAAATTGATGTAGTTCTCGTTGAATCCTATGAGAAAGAACCGTGCAGTTTCCCTATGTGTGGTTTCTTTCACCACGACAGGGCGGTAGACGGTTGAGATATGGCGTCTGTCGCCACAACCATCCGATTTCGCACATGGTGTAGTAGCCGCTGCAATCAGACCGATTCCATCTTCAATTTCGAACAATCTTTTCTTGCATGCGTTGCAATCTACAGTGTCAAATCCATAACCTATTATTCTAAGAGTTGCACTCAACAGGGTGAAAAGCGAAAATTCATCATATTCCATCCAATTCCGTCCAAGAAAATATTTACAAAGACCATAGATGGAAGTTACGGACGCGGAAGAAATGCGAAAGCGAGACATGCTTCTACAACTTAGTCCCTTTCCCTTTGTCCCTGCGATAGGTCATGCATAATTTACGATATGCACAAATCATGAGTGAAAAAACAGAAAAATCCCACTCTTACTTTTTGTGAGCTCACCACGGAATGATATAGAAGTTCAGGGGATGGGGCGTGGATCTTTGGTGCTCAATGTCTGCAGGACTGCACAAGAATGGCCCCCATGGTCTCCGCAGAACAACTCAAAGGTCGGTGGATCACATCTTTCGCGACGGCAAAATCTTGCGATTACTCCGCTGTTGAATGTTAGAAAACCGTTCACGTCGCGGGTTGGCAAGAAAAATTCCAAATTCGGAATCTCCCGAGAGCTTAAACAGAATCGAATCGACTGTTTCAGCTCGATCGATTGCAAATTGTGGTTGCTAACGCAAAGTGCAGTACGACCAAATGCCTAACGACCATACACATCAAATGTCATTTGCAAACAACATACGACTGTATGACACTTTCATGATGCTGGGTGGAGTCCAATATCAGTCACATGTTCATGTTTAGTTGTTTCTGCGCATAAAACTTTTGATAACGAGGGCGACTTCGTCTACATATGTGCTCACGGTTCACATATGATTTTCACACGTGCTTTCCTTCGTGGTGAAAAATGTTGGGTTTACATAAAAGGTCGGTCTTATCGTTCCGTCGTTTGAGAACGTTCGGTTGTCAAACGAGGTAAAATGGGGGACTTCGATGTGAAAATGCTCTTGACTATAAAAGCTCACGTGTGTGTGAAACATCATTCCAGGCCGCAATGGTAATAACCTAAATGACAAACCAAATAGGTCAAACAGTCTTATCAATTGATTATTCGTCGTCTCTCTAAACAAGTTAAAAGTCCTTAGGTGACACAACTTCTGCTATTAGATCTTCTTATTTCAGTTTGATTGTAAAAAAGTAATTTAATTCAACATAGGGAAGCATACTGGCTATAAAACTAGTGCTACAGTTATTTTAGAATTTTCCCTCGTTCGTGTATTTCAATTTTAAATTTCGAACGTAGTCAGTTCAATTCAAGATATTAATAATATAAAATGATTTATTTATTCTTGAAAAAATCCATATTTAGAGTTACAAACCCCTCAAGAATATTTTTCAAATATCAATAAAACAGAATTATCATTTTCAAATTTTTACATAACATAGCAATCAAATTTTAATTTCATTCTTTAATCTTTGGACAACACTCGATATACTCAGGATTTTTCACGGTACCTATTCCTGTTAAATAAAAAAAAAACTTATCACTTTTAAAAAAATTATAACCACTAAAACCTAAACACTATATAACTCCAACATTATAATCCAGTACGAGATCAATTTAATAAAACTACATGGTAGTTATGGTTCAGTAATACTTTATGTAAGAAAGTTATCACAGATTACATAATTTATATTTGAGAATTATATATTCGTTTCAATCCAATATCCGATTATGAGAAACTATGCAGAGTAAACATCGAATTTGTGTCAATCAGTAAAATTTCGATTATTTTTAAAAAAAATAAAAATTGGAAGAATGGAAGTGTTTTTCGATTGCTTTTTCAATAGTTGATATTTTCTTTCAAATTTTTAGCTTACCTAAAGCTTAATATGAACAGATTTTACATCTCAAATATGAAATTATACTGTATCATGTGATAATTTCAACATTTTTTGATTGTTTAATTATATTCTCTTCCTAGAGAATCTTGATCACTTATTTCATTCAGGAAATCCATCAATTTATTTCAAAACAAATATAATCTTCAACGCTAAATTGAAGAGATAATCATTGATATTCATAATTATTGTGAGATAGTTCCTGCATTTATAGTGTTTGTAGCATGGGACAGCCAATGATGTCTCAAGTCTAAAGACCTATCAACTTGTATTAGTTATAATATTCTGAATTCACAATGTACTATTGAACTTTTACCAAGTAATGAATTTCATATTTTTCTTATAAATAGATAGTTAAGATTTTATAAATTTTTTTTGATAAGAAAGATAAATTTGAATTCATTTTTATGGTATTTAATATTACATGTAAATTTATAAAATATAAAATCGCTGAATAATAAAGATCATATTTTACTTTTGTCTGGCATTTAGTCTCGAATGTAAAATGTACAATATCACAACTCTCCATAGAATATCATTCGACTTGCTAAATCGTGATATATTTTGTAATTTATGTTTCAATCAGTATAAAGTGAACTTCAAAGCACAACTTAATAGAATTATATTAAAAGAAATTGGAAAAGGTAAACTTCTAACTGTTTTCTTTTTGTGTAATCAGACATTCTTTCTATTTTATCTTTAAATATAAATAAATAAATACTCAAATAGTTTTTTTTTTATTTTTTTTTTGTAAAATCATTTTTTAATTCTATAATATTTGTATGCATATGATTAGCGTAATTTACTTGTCATTTATTTCTTTAGTTTTTCAAGTGAATTATGTATACTCCAATAATTTTAAAACTGAAATGAGTGAAGATGTACTTGTGGATTCTTAGGTTATTGAGAACTGCAATGAGTTGGTAAAATTCAAATATTTGTGAGTTTCCAGAGGGAGAGTAGAGCAAGAGCTTACACGTTGCTCGTGGATTTCGTCAATTTATGGGCAAAAGCTTTGATACTAATAATCATTGTGAAAAAATGCAAGTGGGAAAGTTGCGAAGGCTATTTTCGGGAAAGCAATGTTTATAACCAAGCCCAACTCACATAGACGTATGTACCAGGGTCAAGATGGTTTTCCTTTAACTCTCGACATATAGTCTTACATAATGGTAAGTTCATGAACAAGTGTATGATCGAGTATTAGCATCGTTCACTTTCTCACTCAGACCCCTATAATAAAATAAACGTATTCAGTCTTTTCCGAAGACTACTTACTACACGGTGAAGGTGAAATTGTATATTCTTCCCTCGAAATACACATCAGTTGTTTCAGAATTACCTGTTGGTGTTCCTTCTCACAGCAACTAGATTTTCCTTTTCAGACATAATTGGGAAAATCGACTTGCAGAGTTTTCTCGTCGTACAAGTAGTGTATTCCTGTTTTGAAAAGGCCAAAGGTTTGCTCCAGAGTGCTCCGAAATGAATCGTCGCAATACACACGGTAGTCTATGTGCCTAATCTGCTTAAGTGCGCCTTCTGTTCATCTACTGATGAACTCTTACAGGATATTTACACTGAGCAGAATAACACTTCCACCTACCATGAGATTCTCACGTACCATACGCTAGGCCGTCACACCTGATAGATGGCTTCGCATCTCGCAGTCTGCAACATGTTGTCGATCGCGTCGACGCTTGCAGATCACTTCACTACAGTCTGAGAGAAGATTTACGTGTCTCTTGCATATTGGAGGGATTTCAAAGCTCTTGATGAAAGGAGTCGTCGCAGCACTGTGAAGCTGAAATTTCGTTCCCTCTGTTTGCCTCGCGAAGATCCGAAAAACGTAACTTCCCTCAAGTGCAGCGCACGCCACCCGGTTTTGCTCACCTCTTACTGCGTAAAAGTCCATGTATTTGTTTCGTGTTTCTGGTGTACTTCTACAGAGTGATCAAGGGTTTGTGACCAGTTTTAAGTTTATTCACTTCGCATTATCGCTCTTGTTTACTACTCATCAAAGTGAAAGCGAAGAGGGCGAAGGCGGTCAAATTGAGCAGACCTACGTTCGGCCTTGTGTCCGGTACAACGTGGTGAACTACGATAATCTAATCTCTCTGCTCAGAAATAAGTTGTTATTCATGGACGGTAAGAACCATCTCCATAGTCTAACATGCAAAGATTGATCATCACTGCAGAGAGATTGCACCTTCGTGTGAACGAGGCGTCCATTGAGCGCCTAAGTGACGAGATGATATGCCGTTTTCAGAGCAATTGACTCAGGCTCGGTTTCGTCGATCATGTAATTCAGGCAAACTGTGAAATTAAAATAAGTCATCATTGCCAAGCTCCATCGCTCGATGTCGAGGCCTGCTCACTAACCCTCCGGGTGATGAGAGACAGTTACAGAAAATTCTAAAGTCTTTTGAGACAATCAGATTGCAAATGAGATAACTGAAAGGTAACTGAAACTGTACATATCTTGAAACTACGGGAAGTGCGACTTCGGGACAGAACACGACAGGGTGCGAGGGCCGATGGATGTGAAGAGCGTGATCATAGAAAGAGACGACGCTGAGAGAGAGAGAATTAGAAAGTACACAAACAATCACTGGGCTTAACGATGATGAGTATCCGACGTATATTGACACTCAACAAACTTATCTCGCAATTTGCTGGAAGTAACGAGGTTGGCAACAACAGCAGAGAGAGGACTCCGAAGAAAGAACACAGAGACTAAGGCAACCCTGTCCCACGCATATACCTCAGAAGCCAAGCTAATGCTGATGATTTGTAGACGACTACAGAGAGATTGGAGGAAGTAGCAGGACAGATATCCTCATCGCAGCAAAGCAGTGTAATATAGCATCAAAGTAAGTGTCTTGACTGCCTATGGAATCAACACACAGTATTGAAATCTAGGGTTAGGGTTTTGAAATCGAAGAAACTACACGACAAAGTGGCCACCCGACGCCCTATTCAGAAGACAACTTACGGCGCGCACTTCTTGACATCACTGCAGTAATGGAATTTGTTTGACTACGTACTGCAGTCTATGTACTCTATATGGGCAACAATCATGATCGAAAACGTTCCCTTCATCTGCATCACAGCGTCTCCCCACTTTTTAATTCGAAGCTTAAATATTGTATATACATTTCTTCCAGAGCTTGGGTATGTAAGAAAGAGATCACTTGCTGCTTATGTCACTAACACTTGCACAGACATGGATAACGGGGATTGTTCTGATGCTACAAGCACTGCCGATGGGAGGAGTTCCTTCCATTACTTTGATATCCCTTGCCACAATTTGAGCGTAATCCGTTTTTCTAATGGTTTCTGGTTTCCTAATCTGGAAAAAAATCACTTTGAAGACAAAACCTCTTTTTTTAGCTCTTCCACATATACATTTATCGAACTGTCCCACTTGGCAGCAGCCTCCAACACCGAGAGAGCTTCATCTTTTAGCCCCTCCTGACTCATAGCACTACACATCCCGATACACAACGCTATGGTTCAAGTACTGAGGAATTTAGGCGTCAGCATCAACCATCAAAGTCACCTAAAGGGTGAACTTTGATGGTTGATGACTTCTACCGTTCACCCTTTAGGTGACGGTAGAAGTCATAGGAAAATCCAGTGACATAAATTGAATGTGCTCTGAACTCAGATGTAATGAATTTAGCGACTTACCTGCTTAAGGTGACAAGAGCTCTAAGGTACTTCACACGAAGAACGGGTTCTTCAGGTACATTCATATCCATCAACGGCCTCATCACGTCCACGGCTTCCCCCCTCCTACCCTAGAGTTTGAACACGATATATTACTCCAAACTCTGATTATCCAAATTCTGAGTACAGCTCACAAGTGGAAGACGTAAAGGTATTACACAAAGCAGGTTCACCCATAGACCTACGTAACAATCTCCACGAAACCAAACCTTGAAAAAGGACTCGAACTGGTGAGCAGAGAATGATTGACTCAAGAAAGCCAATAGACTGACCTGATTGTAAAGAGCGATCCCGGATCCCATCAACGCGGTTATCCTTGGTGGATCATCACGCGCCTATCATGGAACGAACGAGTTATTTGAGAAGAACGATAACTACCAAAGTACAGTCAGAGGAAATTCACCTCTAGCCTGTAAGCTACCTACAATGTAGTAACTGGTAACCGTATAATATTCCTGCAATGTCAACTTAACTTTCGCATGATGCAGCAGAAGATAACAAAAAAAACCGCAATTTTTTAAAAAATTCTTCAGGGGTGTGGAAGCTGTACCTTGGAAATAACTAAGCTGTAATACTCGAGGGCTTCAGACCACTGACGCTTTTTGATATGTAACATCCCATATACATTGTAGGCCTCAGGCTCGTCGGGATATTTCTCGAGAGCAAATCTGCACGCCAATCGCATCGAGTTTACAATTGGGAGATGAGCTACCCATAAGTAGTAAATCACATCGAATATAACAAGTTTAAAAAAGCGATTTCCATGCATTAAACATTTCTTTCAAGGTCTGTATTATAGAGATCCATAAGAGGCTAAAATTAGAGAAGAAAATTTCGTGGGAGGAAAAAAACAAACTTACTTCAACAAGTTGACGGCCTCTAAGTCACGGTCATTGGCTACACACTGAGTTGCAGCCTGGTGCAGAAATTAAATTCCAAATATTCGTGAGAAGAATGATAGTGGTAACCAGCGACGTTAAGCCTCACAAAATATTACGGAGCAGGTGCTTCAAGAATAAACCAGAAGCGGTAGCCAAAGTTACATCGTGGATGGATAAGGTGACCAATGCGACCTACACCCATTATTTAAGTCCTACAGATCACGCTAGGCTGCAACAAGAGTTTTAAGGATCACTTACCGAAAGAAGGCCATCCAGATCTAGCAGCTCTGGATTGATGCTCTCAGATTCTGCACTTTGCGATTGTTGCTTGGATCTCAGCTTCTCCATCTCCGAAAGAAGAGGCAATCCAAAAGTTGAGCGGAAACTTTCATTCTGCAAAGCTAGAGACTGCAGAAGAAAATATATTACTATACAAACCATACATGAGCAACCAAAAGGGCTTAACATGGGAGGGGCAAAGAAAACAGAACAGGTCATAAAGAATCAACAGAGGAATAGATAGGAAATGAAAATGAACTCAAAGAAAGTGCAGTTTAGATTGCCATGCTAGAGGCTAACGGGGCTGGTGAACATAACCGACGATCATATGGCAAGTATATCTTTGCCATCACAAAGAACCCGGTGGATTATTCAGAATGTCTCTTGTAGCGTATGCTTCGTCGATAATAAGGAGAAGTAGGTTTGCAGTTTGCATCACCGGTATGCATCTTTATGCTAACAGGCAGACTGACAATTGATACTGAGGATGGGTGAACATGCCTATGTAAAGCTGAATTCTACAAAGCCACGGAATGAAACAACAGAAAAATGAAGAGACACGAAGGGACCCTCAACCTTTACAGGCACGATCAGACAAAAGAGATAGACAATAGGGAAGAAGAAGCATGCCATGTAGGACAATCTGAAGCCTGTTGAATTCTCAGACTAGAGCGGGGAAAACATTAGTAGAATGCGAACAAACAAATAACGGGCTTCTAAGGAAGCTCTCCACCTGGAAGTGCTAACGATCTGCTCATCGATTTGACGAATAACACAGCACCATAAGCTAAAAACAACGTTTAAATTACAGTTTTTTGTAGCTAAATCTATGATATAACACCCCTCAGGGTGCGGGGTCTCCAGGCACATCCTAACCAGTAGAAATTTTTGTTTATAGATTCGTGTGACATGCTAAAAGTAGAAACTAACCAGATTTGAGAAACTTGCTACCCACATCGGTAGCTTGTCCTCTTGCACAAAAATGATATAATGAGCGGAACAACACTACAGCCGGATATGACTTTCGTTCATAATTATGTAATGACAAATTGAGGTGGAGCCTCTAGAATCCGAATGATAACTACGAAACTGCGAGCAAGAAGAATAGGACTAAGTCAAACAATGGTACCTGAAGCAAATTGAAGGTATTGTTGGTCAGCCAGTACATAAATACACCCTGTAAATTTCGAGAAAACAGGATTTTCTTTTGTAAATCTGTTTCACTCGTATAAGCAAAAGAACACTCTGTCGACAACTTATGCATAAAGATAATGATCAACCAGCTGGTCTCAAGGTGCACAATTAGCATGATTCTGAGCTCGTACAAGTTCTAGCGTTTTTTTTTTAATGAACAGGTTCGACAGTTGAAAAAGCTTGAGTAGTGCTTACGAACCGATAGTTGCTACATAAGAGATAATCGCTAATGTCGGATCAGTAAAGAATCTATGTGTATACAAAATGAGATAACAATTCACCTGTGGCAGGTAGAAGCCCATAAGAAATAGTGGTATGGTCATAGCTTCTAACCACCATTGATATATCTGAAAGACGACGCACTTGGATCAGATCAAACAAATGCCTCCACTTTGCGATGAGAGATTCTGATTGTCAACTTCTAATACACGACTTCGCGACCAGACAACGATTATAATAATTGTGCCAACAAAGATATGGTTTCCTTTACACAGAGAACTAAGGTCAAAGTTCACACTTCCACGTATAAAACCCAGAATTCTTATGACCAAGTGTTTCTCTTCCAAGTTCCGTTAAAAAACCTCAATGAAAGATGCCAACAGGTTTCATAAACTTACCTTCATGAAGAAACCGGTGACGTCATTGCTTGGCTTCATCGTCCGAAATGACACCTAAAATATCGAAAGTGACACGTTCAACCTCGTACGCCTAAATGTGTATTCTTCTCAGCCAGTGCTAGACAAAAGTAAACATAATAACAAAAGCAGTATAATGCGTTACTTCTACTCTAAACTTGGAGTTAATACCCGACTGAATATAGTAAGGAGCTGCTGCAACTCAATAAGTACCTGGACGTTGATGAAATACGTGAGAGCTACGAGAGTAGGAAAAAGAGCACCAAGTGCACCCTGCACAGGAACAGTCAAATTCGAAAACCACAGGACACCACCCTGCGAATGGCAATCGTAAAATAAGTACTTTTCTGAATGTGGATCAGGAAGCAGCGATCGTCTTGACCCATCTGAGGTATGCTTAATAAAATTCTCCAAAATACTAAAGACATGCGTTCTTCGAAATGTGACAGGTCGGCATGGATAAAAACACAATAAACGAATAAAAAATACAATAAAACAATATCTATGTGAGAAGTTTTTCGTGCTAGGAAAATAAGACTCACAGTCTCAAACCCTGGGTGAGATGCCATGGCCATTCCTCGCAATGCTATGATCCAGTACAGAAATAGCGGTGCCTGGAACAAAGAGCCATCAGTTTACAAGGTAACTGTAACTGCAGCAAGGGTTCCAGTCAAACAATCACATAATTTACAAAAGCAAGCGAAAATTACTGTACTTGAGATAACTGAGCCAAACAATCGAAGAATATCCTTAAAAAAGATATTCTCACAAAGGACAATGTATATGAAATTTACTTGTATTTCCTGTATAGACACTTCCAAAAGTCGTAAACAGCTGTGTAGAATGCAGAAAGTTTCAACGAGTCTCTCTACAACATAATTGGTTTTCTGTAAGCCAGATCTTTCATAGTTTTAGAAGAAAGAGAGACTACAATACCTGGGCTAGACCTGCAATTGCCCAGAAGGGACTGGGAACCCCCAACTCCAAACGCCTCTTTGTAAATACGCGGTACTGCTCAGCGAAGGTCTTGCCAGACTCAGGCGGGGGTCTTATCGGTGGTACTGTGGAATTACAAAGAAGCTCATCAATCAATAAACTGCAGGGTTTAGTTCATCTCTTGCTTTGGCTTTTTCCTCCAGAGATTTTGAGATTCGGGATGCATAGAACTTAAAGCGAAAGTAATGAACCAACGAAAACGTGTAATCAGAACGATGCTCTATAAGTAAAACAGCGCAAGTTCAAATGAGACTTACTGGGACCAAAGCACATAGTGACAGATTCTACGAACAATCTTGGAACACACAGGGCTGTGGTATCTCACAGAGAGAGATGGAAGATGCAAATTGTGCAGACTTTTTGATGTAAGTGATGGTGAATGGAAAAATAGTTGCTCGAAAAGCGAGTGTTGAGCCAACAATCGTGAGCCACCTGACCAGAATGCCAATACAGAGGAACGTTTACTTGTTCTATCTATAAAAGAGGCAGTACTTTCTACACATGTTGCATATAAATGCATGACCCTTCGGAGCTTCGAGAAAGCGAAGAAATTGGAAGATAAAGAGCTTGCCGAAAGTATACGACTTTAACTTGTGATAATGAACTGACTATGAACTGAAGCAATTGCATGAACGTACCCGATACAAAAAATCTATAAACGCAGACTAAACTAAACAGCTCTTACTCACCAGGGAGCTCCAGTCATGTTGTGTACTCCGTCTACCAATACAACTACTCCATCCGCAGGAAGCCGTAGTATACTCCAGATACTCGTTGCAAGAGATTCATTTGTGACAGTCTCTAGAAGCTCTGCCCCTGCTTGAGAGGTTTTTAAGCTTTCAGCTGGAATGTCCAGTTTAGGCACCTCCCCTGCACGCTCCCAGGTGTTAGCATCCAGGTCCTCGCCTGTAAGCAACGTGTTTACTGACGAATCATCTGTCAACATTTCTGATTGATCAGGTTGGCTGCGGTGAAGAGAACCGGTTACAGATTCCAGATGATGATCGGACTTGATTTTCGAGTCAGCGCCTGTTTCAGAATTGTAACCGCTCCCTCGGCTCCACCACGCAAAACCTCTGATCGGAACAAACCAAAAAGCGGCATCCATGGACGAACATTGCTGCGGTATCAAAATCCTGCTTGCATATGAGTAGTGCCTGTTCCGACAAACTTTTTCCCTTTCAGCATTTCCTCTGTAGAGCCTTCTCTGATCTGCTAGAGCGCAAAAACCTGTAGTTCTAGACAGATGATGGGCAGGGAACAGCCCAGCCGCTAGCAAGCGGCGCGCATGACGTGATGCAATACCGGACATGTTTGAACGCCTATACAAGTCCTGCGCTTAAATCGCAGCAGAGTGTTTCTCAACGATCGAAAGTGTCTGTGAGGATAATGGGCAGGAGAACTGCAGACTTCTACGTTCACAGTAATTGTAACAAATTGATGATCAATCGAGCATGCAATCCGTCCCCGCACAGAAAAATCATTTGTGTCTCAGCTCAGACGAGATCCCCAGGCACACCAGGGACAGAGTGAGATTGTAAAAATCTAAAGATATTCGGGATGTTCGGCATCATCAGTGAAGCGTAGAATCCTCGAAGCCTGAAATGAAGTCGAAGAAATTCTCGAAAACTGCATTTGTTTAGAAAGATACAACGAATGTTGTGTTACGTCGTTCGTATCATGCTCTCGCGCTCTTCGAGATTCTTGACGTCTTCCCTATTTCTCTTCTATTTATTTCGACGACGCTCAAAACATTTCTCGCCTCCTCTTAAGGTGGCCAGAGTACACACATTCATAACGTCCGCAACAAATTGTTGTGTATATTTGCTGTAGTTTTCGTTTCCGAATATAAGTTCACGATCTAGGTAAGGACACAATCTTTGGAGCCAAAGCAGTAACATTATTCAGGCTCGTCACAGGCAACCATTTACCTGGAAGATGTTATGGCGTATACGAGGTAGCTTGATGCAACGTTGTATTCCAAACGTCATTGTACGTTATCTATGGCATTCAATCACAGATTAAAGAGGAATGAATTAAGCGATTCCTTTCGGATGTGCAATTTGCTCGACCATTTTGGATATGATTTATCTTTAGATGTTTTAATGTAAGGAACATCATAACTGGAAACGAAACACTTCATTTCACTGTTACGATAACAGACTTAGTCATTCTTTAAGACTCCAGAGATATGAGTTGATATGAAGTAGTGTTATGATAGGAATTATTGATCATGTAAATAATTAGAGTTTTTTTTCTCCATTTCTTAAATTCTCAAAATTATAATATGTCCATCATTGAAATTCATATATTAGAAAAATATTTTTACAGTTTTAATCCTTGCATATGTGACATTGACAGCTTATAAATCATTTCAGATGGAATTTGAGCTTGTTTCATTCTATTCTTCTTCTCCGAAAGACAAGCAAAAGTTTAAATGAAGCTAACACTAAAAACGATTCGTCTACTGAATTCAGTGGTGACGCTGTTTTCTACGGAATGAGTGGATGAATGAGCACTGATTTACTTATGGTTCAGACGATGTCCCGAAAAACGTTGAGCGACACCTCCGTCGATATAATATTTAGCCTGGCTAATCTCTAATTATATATCTCCATCTTGTCGATGCCTACTTATGCCAGGATCTTGGATCAATGTTTAATTGGCCTTATACGGTCGCCGTATGGCTGGTCCTGTACCATTCGTGTATCCCAACACGCTTTAGATTACGTTCGTATGCATCAGTCCACTGCAAAATGTCATCTTCTCAAACGGAATATCCGCGCGGAAAAGTCCTCCGCGATCTAGAGATCGCGGACACTGCTTGAAACTCCTCCTTTAGCCTTTTCGGAGAGCTAGACAATTGCGCGCCGGCGTTTCGAGTGTTCGAATTTCAAGAGACTGTGCAAGTAAACGGGTCGAACGTCCCTATTCCAACAACTCCTTCCAGAGGTGACAAAAGATTGGCTCTTAAGATTGACCGATTGCTTACAAACATCAAGAACGACGTTAAATGTCATCTTCCAAGAGTGGCGCATTATGTGGCCCTACGGCCGACTGGAAGTCGTTGTAGAAGTTGAGATGTGAGATCGGCAGGACAAGGTTGCGGACAAACAGTTCCCACAATGCTATGACAGAACTCAGAAAAGCCACGGCGGAGAATGGAGTCGAGGAAGTTGACTTGGCCGATCGTGTTTTTCGGGTTCATTCGGATGCAGCCGATCGGGCGGAAGAAGTCGGACTCTCATGACGAAGGACGACGAGAGCGTAGCGTGAGAATGTGAACTTGAGTGCCGAAACAAATCTGGGGTCCACTCGGGCCCATCCTCGCCACGATCGCACCCATCATCGCTCGCAGGTGCGCCCGAAGAGCCGATCCTGGACCGTTGGGTGCCTGACCGCTATTTCTCCAAATCCTTGCAACATCTCCAAGAGAGAAAACGTCGAGCCGTCGACGGCTCCTCCCGTCGTACGAACAAAGGCGCGGGACCGTCCGCGCCCTTGCCCCGCCCCGCGGCCACCGCCGGAGCCAACGCATTTCGGCGGAGAACCGGGCGAGCGACCGAGCTCACGGCCTTTCCATTTCCGGATGCACCAGCCCACGCTCGTCGGGAGGCAGGCCGGACCTGCGGGGGGTGGATGATGTCTAGTACTCCAGGCGCCCGCCACGGTGGCTCGGGACGGGGTGTCACCGGACCGAACGGTACAGTCCAGTACGTTCCTGTACTGGAGGCTGGACTTGACGGGTCTCGTGGTTTTCGAAGTCGAACGCAGAGGAGCCCACAACGTTCGGGCCGCGGGAGGCAAGCCAAGCCAAGGCCGGGACAGGACACGCAGGGGAAGGTGAGGAGGAGGAGGAGGAGGAGGAGCAGCAGCAGTAGCATAGCGAGGAACAAGTCTTAGCGTCTGCTGGCGGAGGAAAGCGAGACAAAGTGTAGCATCAGCAGCTGCGATCACCCTGATCTTGCAGTTGGTGCGTGCGGCCGCGGAGTTTATGTGGTTCTGCGTGAATTCATGCACGCGAGCAGAGTGGGGAATTGGCTGCGTAATAGTTTTGCGGGTTAAATTTTGCAGATCGAGCGAGCGCGGTCCTCAGCGAGGCCGGTTGGAATCGCTCGAGCCGGGCGGGGCGGTGCTGGGCTTCGCTCGGGGCGGAGAGAAGGAAGACGATTGGCGTGGATAGGGGCGCTGGAGGGACAAGAGCACGTGCAGCTTCTGGCATAGAAATGAGGAGGGACGGAAAGCTGGAGGGATGCATTGATTTATGGCAGAAATAAGGATGCCTTTACAACAGGTCCGTGTCGAAGTGATGGGCGGAGTCCATTTTTCAAGGCTTAGCGGGAGGAGTTGTCGAGCTTGGTGGTGAAATTTGCTAATTACATTGGGTTTCCGGGAGACGTCTGTTTATGTTTGGGTGTGAGCTGGGCAATTGCAGGAGTCTTCCCAGGCGAACTATAGCCGTGCTCTTCGTGCCGTGGGTTTTAATGCCGAACAGGGGAGTGTCGTGGTCGTGGTTGTGGTAGAAGGTTGAAGCGCACCCCTTTCAGCGAGACCCGTTCGCGCAACTCACCGGAGCTTCTGGACTCCAATTTCTATGACTTTGTGATAAGCCATGAAATTCTTTCGTGCCAAACTTAAAGCCTTGTGCCAGCAGTCTACTCGCGATCTGCCTCCGGAGTCAGTGGACGGGGGTTTTGTTTTGCCAATGCAGTTCGTGTTCATGTACCAATTTCCGGACGAGTTTGCATTCCGCATTTGCTGAGGCTCTATATTGCTCGGATGTGGCTAAAGTGACTGCAATTGGTGGCAGAGACGCAATTCTGTCCTTAGTCGGAATGTCATATCCGCCACTACAGCGTTGGGGAAACCTGAGACCTGTCCCTTATCAATCGCATCAGTTTGTGGGGCGACGTGTGAGTGGAAGTTGGTTTGTTTCAAATCCTCCATGGATATAAGCCGTTAAATTGAAAGTGCAACATGAAGATGGAGGCGCAGCAACTGGTGGATGCTCTTACTGACCACTTAGCAATTTATCACCGCAGCTCTGCACCCAAGACAGAGTCGAGAGAAAGACAGAGAGTGGTAGAATGGCTTGCTGGTTTGAATTACGAACAAAGACAGGCCGCGCTTACAGTGGTGGATGGCCCCTGGGTCGCAATCCTCCTGATGATGCAGAAGTATCTGGTAGCAGAAGGTAGAGGTTCTTTCATTCTGCTCCCGGATGTTCCTGGCGATGGCAGAGAAAGCTCGGGTGCGGAATTGGGAGCGTGCAAATCAAAGAAAGGGAAGCTGGATGATAACACCTGTGACTCGAAATCAACACGACCTGTGAAGCTCCATCGAGGATTGAAAGGATCCGACCCGACGGACAAAGGCTGTACAAGATGTAGCTCGACCCTGCCAGGATTGTGCTTCAGGAGAGCTAGAGGGCTTGTCAGGCGATTGCAGAGAGAGCAGGAAGCCGGTGATTTGCTTGTCAGCAACATTCGACTTTTTAGCTCGGGAGATGGAGAAGGGAAGGTTGTATATGGAATGGCAGAAGCAAGGGGCATGCTCGATTGCATAAGTATCTCCAATGATTTGTTGAGAAATGTACACACCTTTCTGGAAGTCATGGACGATATCTCTCATCATGAATTCTTGAAAAGTCCATGCCCCTACCCTGCTTCGCCTTGGGAAGAAATGCCGTGGTTGAAAGGTATGGGCTACTACAGCTTGCCCGCATTCATTGCAAACAAGTTCGAGTTTGGGCTGTGGTCAGCATGGAGATATGCCCAGGGCAGTAAGAAACCACCCAGATCCCTCGCATTGAAGCTAAAGGATCCCAAGGGAGGGAGGAGTGGCAAGGCTTGCTCCTGTGATTTGCACAGCAATGTGTCAATTGCATCAAGCATTATAGGAAAGAAGCTTGGCTGCATAAATTGGTGGGCTCGACTGCCAACCTGTGTGAGGGGGAACATGATCAAGTCTACACTGGCAGTGACGTGCAAATATGAGGTAACTAAATTTCTTTTGAACGAATTATTGTGAATGGGTTGCTCATGTTGGAGGAGTATCCACGTCGTGTTGTTTGTATTTTTCAGTCGGTAGCTGCATTGGATGCCATAGAAAGTCCCATGACAGCGGCCAACGAACAGAAACTTTGAGTTTTTCACATTTCTACGTACGCTCCTAATGAACGAATTAGTTACGGCAGCATCCATTCCCTAGAAAGTTTACAGGCATCATTTCAACAGTACCGTAATGTACGTTTTAAACCTAATAAACTCCTATCTTGTTAGTCCTTGTCACCAGAATTCCATCTCACATCTCTACTTTTCTTTCACTCCAGGTTATGAAGCTTTTTCGAGAAGCGAGGACTGCCAGTTCAAAAGGTAGAGACTTAAACTTGAGAGGCAAGAACAAAAATCTGGTAATGAATTCGGGAGAAACGAGGCTAAGAAACATCTGCAAAGGCAGTCTTTCGGATACGGAATTAGACCAAGCTGCAATGCTCGGAAGGAAGAGTGCGAATGGAGCTGCTGTTGCACCCTTACTTACTGGTCTAAAAGCCTTGAAGGAGCTATCAGAGGCTGGTTTACTATGTGGAAAATCTGAAGGTATGAATTCTGCGCAAGAGGCTGATGCCAGCTGGCTGTTTGATAGCACGTTGAAGTCTGCGCACACATTGTCAGATCGTGTATTGAGGAAGGTAAGGAATGTTCTTGTCAAGGTGAACAATGCCCGTGTTGAGATTGAGCTACTTGGAGATGAAAACAATGCCAGTCTGCACAGCAACAATGGTGGTGAAAGTAGTGAAGTGAAAAGCACGAAAACAAAGAAGAAACGGAGAAAACAGACTTCAGCTCACAAGTTAGACGTCAGTCAGCAAGAGGAGAAGGGGCCGACATGCAAGCCAAAGTCAGTGAAGGTAATGACGAGATTAATCCCTTGTGACACTACGAAGTTTACCTGATAGTCGTCTCTTGGTTTCTTACTTATATGTACTCTTGATTTTCTTGCTAAGTAATCATTGTCGATTAGGATGACACCCTTCATTTCTCGATACAGGGTCAAGAGGATCCAGAGCGAAGAGCAAAAACTGCTGTCGGAGGGGAGGTGGAAAATTGGAGCCCTGGTGCCCAGCAACTCGTGTTAGGATCCAAAACCATGTCAGTTACTCAAGAATCCTCCGGCCGCAAGGGAAAGGGTGGAAAGTCGAAGTCCAAAAAAGTCGAGAGGCTCAATCACGATCCTAAGTTGCATTCAAAGATTTCCAGTATGAATGGTAAATCTACCCGACACGAAACCGCTAACCAAATCGATTACCCGGCGGCGAGCGATGTTAACATGCATATCAATTATGATAGACAGACCGATGGAGATCGAAAGAATGGTGCGCCGGATGTGGCAAAGGACGAGCAGTTGGATCAGGATTGTACCTTACTCTCAGAAACAATAGCTGTGAAACTACATGAGAACTTACCTGAAAGCAAATCGGAGGATTGTAACGGTTTTCACATCATATCCGGTAGCAGGAAAGGAAAAAGAGGTGTCTTGAAATCAAGAGTGGAAGAGAAGGAATCCAACAAGACTGTGCTACATATGACGAAGTCTCTCTTGAAAGATAAAGAGAGTTCTCATGCAAGCGTTCTGAACCTTATGGATGGAATGTACTTGCGTTCAAACGGGCCAGAAGAGGTAAGGAAGGACAAATTGGAGAATGGCGAGCAGCTGTGTAATGGTCATTCCTTACCGTTCAGCGACGTCGTAGAGATGATCGAGGATGACTCTTTAGCAAGCGATGTCAAAGATATGAATGGTGGCATTGTCTGCCTGAAGAGAGGGAAAGCTCATGGAGTCGAAAGTGTTGGTGGTGTCAGTTTCTTGCCTGGTAAAGCTAGAACCCATCACTGGAGTGGAGTTGAACAGGAAAACATGGTTATTCACCACGAGGACGAAGGAAGCTGCAATTCAAGGCCAACCTTTCAGAATACCATATCAGAAAGCAGAACTGAAATGTTCGATACTTCCGTGACAAGGGACGTGGTTGTGCTGACTGATGTGGACCAAAGAAATCCGGACAGCCTTCCAATTATGACTTCAAGAGGAGAGCCCTGCCAGAATGTTTATGTACAGAACTCCGTAGGAGTACTCAGTGAACACACAGGTAAAGGAGAGTCATCCACAATCTGCTTTGGAACCTTCGACACTGTGGTAGCTGAATCCCCAAAGATTCCCAATCCTTCTGTTCATTTGGAGACTCCCTTGAAGTTTGAAACGCCAATTTTATCCAGTAGTGAGAAGGCTAAGGAGCCATCGGATTTAAAAGCCGTAAGCCCGGGAAGAACTCAAGCCATGGATCTAGGAAACTGGTCTGAAGGAGCCAGTCATAGTAGGCACATTCGAAATTCTTTGAACGGAATTTATCCACCAACTAAAACCTCTAGGCAGTTGGAATTCGCAAGCAACGGGGTTCCACATTATCAGCAGGGGCCGATTGTGAGACCTGGGCCTCATGAATGGCCTGGCTCAGTTCAGGTTGGTTACTCTGGGGCTTACAATCAGCCAACAGCATCAGATTGGTTACAGCTAGATGTCGGTCGAGGCTTGCCTCCCCGGATCCAATCTTCACTGCTCGCTTACAGAAGTACTCCTGTATCTACGCGGCGAAGCGCACAAGTTGAGAGCTCATCTCCTGTAACTCCTGCCACCCGCTCTGTAAGCTTGGTGAATCAAGAGTGGCCCTCCTTTGTGCAGTCCTTCAGTGTTTCTCCACCGCTGGCTTTCTCTGTACCTCCAGCAGACGAGTCAAGTCTAAGACCGGTCTTGAATCCCTCTCAGCTGTCTAGTGGGTCTGGTGAACTGGAAGGGAATGGTAGAGTTGCTCCAGATGAGTTCGATATTGAAGACAGGTTCGCTTATGACACGGATGTAGATGACTACGGTGTTTATAAAGCTGGAGAGTTCGATGATTTTGACGGTTACATGATATCTGAGGAAGAGAGCGAGAGATACTTAGAGGATGTAACTGACAGCAGTGCCGCTGACTACAACCAAATTTTTGGAGGTGGAGTAATGTACTGGAATGCAGCAGATTATGCTGGAATGGGTTATTCTCGTCCGGGATCTCTTAGCTCTGAAGACAGTTCCTGGGCACGTCATGAAGCAGATCTGAGCGTTGTGCTTGATGATATTGTTAGTTATCAACTAATTCAAGGTGCTTATCCCGGCAAGGGGTCCGCAGTTTCAAACGTGACAAGTTCCTCACCTCCGTCTGCAACGTCATTACCCAAAACTTTTGAACATTTGAGCCCGGTGGGATCCACTAATTCACGACACAGTTTGTCGAGACATGTTGGCAATGAGTTTCCTGGGAAATTCTCAATCCATACAAATCAGGTGCTCAGTACCGAGGAACAATCGGGAGTGTCACGAGGACCATCATCATCAGAGGTGATTGACAAGATCAGAGTAGACAGTTCACCGCAGCCGATTTTGAGGCCGATTGTGGTAGTTCGAGATCTGAGCTTATCAAGACATGTATCTTCAGGTGAAGCTCTCAGATTACAAGAGGCCAAGAGTCCTCATATTGTACCGCGCAGCAGAAGGGACTTCCCTTGTCATAAGAAACGTCCTCCTTCACCCGTCTTACGCTGTGTTCCTCCAGCTCCACCGCCGCCTCCTCCTTCACCAGTTGCAGGTCCAAGGAGGCGAAAGGGGTTTATGGCAGCACGATCAGGAAGTTCCAGCCCACGACACTGGGGCTTAGTGAATTGGTCGTACAAAGATGAGCCAGATAATATGGACGGGAAAGCGAAAGGTGGAAATCCAGAAGGTCTTGTAACTAGTGGACGGAGAAGGGTGGGTCTTACAAATACTCCTCCAATGCACCCTCTTTCAGGAGCCTTACTTCGAGAGCGACTAATCTCTGTTCCACCTTTAGCTCTAGAGCAGGAACATGTAAGTTCTTTCAATTTGACTCAGTTTCGTACCTCAAGAAGCCTAGTCAACCTTGGGCCTCTTTCTCTCTATTTTCTTCTGTTTTTTAAAGGTCTCCACTGAAGCGGTTGTTAGAAACCAGAAATTGGGGTTGCCTTCATTGTTTTGAAGTCAAGCCTGGTATAAAGCGAAGTGTTTTGCTAATCAGTATTCTTCAATCTTCTCATGTCTCAGCTCGATTCCACTTTACCGATGAAGACCACACTGATCCAGAGTAGCAATCCTGGGCTCCTTCTGGCTTTGCCCAAGCTTCTCAAAGCCATCCACGTGGAAATTGAAGCGTTCTGTATACAGGTACTGATTTGCGTCTGTCCAATTGAGAGATGTAACTATTTAGTTAAAAAATATATTTAATGGTGGAAGAATAAGTTTGTAGCTTGTATATCTTCAAGCATTTCTTCTTACCTGTATTATAGGGATGCAAGTAGTTTTGATACCTTGTTTTGTGGTTAGATAAACACAACTCAATGACATCGCAGTCGAAAATTGGAGAATGTAGATCTATATTTCGCTTTTAAGTTGAATGTAGGCCCCCACATTGAACTTTCAAAATTGGCCATTTGTGCTTCATTATCTCATAAAGGAGTCTACGTCTATCTCACACAGGTTGCGAAAGAGAACAAGAGGAGAAAACCTTTTGTAAATACAGCCGTGAAGAAAGTGGCGCATTCTTTGCAAGTTCTGTGGCCTCGGTCTCGCACAAAGATCTTTGGGTCTATTGCTACAGGACTTGCGCTTCCTACCAGCGATGTGGATCTTGTAGTTTGTTTGCCTCCGGTCAGAAACCTGGTAAGGATCTCACAATATCTCTCACCTGTACATTGTTGAGTAAACTGCAGTGGACTTGCAGTCCTTTGAGCCCGTGGGGATGTATTATAAAGCGTGACCAGGATTATTGAATCTGTTTGCAACAGGAGCCGATTAAAGAAGCAGGAATATTAGAAGGTCGTAACGGGATCAAAGAGACCTGTCTACAGGTATTCCCCGATACTTATGTTAGATATTTTGATTCCTGACGTAATATGGGATATCTGAAATTGTGAGATCATCTAAACTTCCCGAAATGATTCATATCTTGCTAGATACATGGGCTCTCATTTTGTTTTCTTTCTGTTTATCTCCTTAGGCCAGTTTTTACTCTGCATGAATTGCGGGTCTCACTGGTGTCAGCTTTGTTGCTTCAAGGATCAGTCTGTGCCTTTACAGAAGGTATGACTTGTGAACTTGGATTCATTCATCTATGCTTGTTCGTCTATTCTGCCTGTTGTTACAGCATGCAGCACGTTATCTCGCCGACCAGGACTGGGTTAAAAACGATTCTTTGAAGACAATTGAAAATACTCTGGTGAGTACCTGGAATCGTTGGCCATCCTCTTCTTTCTTAAAGCTTCAATGCACTTATATCTGAGTGTGCATATGCTTGTCCTAGAGAAATGACTTAATTCTGAGATGCCGAGATCTTAGGGTGACCATGACTGTCATTTTGAAAGGTCGCTCATGCTTTCAGATGAAGTCCATTCTGATATGACCAATTGGAGATTCTCTCAGTTGTGTGTTTTGTGATGTGTAGATCGCTTATAGTTTCTTCTTAAGGGTTCAAAGGTTGAAAGGAATGAATTGACTGGAAACTCTAACTTCTGCTTCATGACTTTCACACAACTTGTACATATTAACAGGTTCCAATAATTATTCTGGTGGCCGAGTTCCTCCCCCATCAATGTGAGATGGAGGATGAGGATAGCCCATATTCTTTTGGTCCGAACTTGCGCAAAGACTCTGCAGAAGATGGAGTATCTAAGGTCGACACTACCACGAGCACTGCTGCTTTGGCTAGTATGGACATCGTAAACAAGGATTTAACCGCATCCACTGAAGTTGTTAAGGGACCATGGGGAGGAAAGGCAGATCGACAGCTTGTGCGGCTTGACATAAGTTTTGAGGCTCCTTCTCATACCGGGCTTAGAACTGCCGAACTGGTAATCATCTTCGTTGTATATATGATGAAGCGTTGTGAAAACTATTGAACTTTTGAGTCGATTACGTTATTGAGTGTTGTTATATTTTTAAGACCCAATCTCTCTCATTATTTTCTGGACACGCGTAATGTTTGGGAAAGTACTATGGTGTATAAGATTGTTGCATCTCACATGGTTTCGTGAACAGGTACGCGAGTTGATCGGTCAGTACCCAGCCCTGTCTCCTTTGGCCTTGGTTCTTAAACAGTTTCTCACAGACCGTAGTCTAGACCATCCTTATACAGGCGGATTGAGCTCCTACTGCCTCGTAAGTTGCAAACTCTGATATCTTGATCTGGTCTTTCTTTTGCTTGTGTTGAGGTTTGCAAGCACGTAGTTGCTGGTTTCCTTCTTTTATTGGACCTCAAACCCTGGACGCGTTTCCGAAAAAGTCTAAGCTCCAGCGAACGCTGCTTAACTACGTGGATAGGAGTAAGCCTGAACTTAAGATTGATGAAGTCCGTCGATTGTAATCACATGCAGATTCAGAAGCTCTCATCTAATTCATTATGTGCTTGCCAGGTACTCTTGATTACAAGATTCTTGCAACACCAGTCTCATCAGTCCAACCTGATGCACACTGGCAGGCAATCGTCAAGTCAGGTATGTCAACTATACATCTGTTTACACTCCTGGTCTGTTGAGCCGCCGTTTTATCTCATGGGGTCCTTGATGGTAATGTATCAGTCGAATTTTCGCCTTTACTGCTTTCTGCTAATACAGTGGAGTTTTCTGCTGCACAGAATCTTGGGAGCCTTTTTGTAGACTTTCTTCATTTTTTTGGGTAAGTACTTGACTCTGAACTATCTTCCTTGCAGCTGAACGATAGGTGAAGAGCAACAATGCAAATTAAAGAAGATTTGCTTCCAATACTTGGAGTTCCAAAACATTGCAAATATTGTACCTTTGACCGAAGCCTGAAACTTGTAAATAATCTAGATAAATTTTGTTCTCTGGCTACTTGTTCAAAATAAGATGGTTGAACCGTAATGTGGTTGCTTCTGCCATTATTTGTTGTCTGTAACCTGTTTTAGGTGTGTGTTTGATCCGCGGAGGATGGGTGTTCGGATACGAGGTGGTGGGATGTATCTGAGCAGAGACAGGTTCCATGGGTGAGTTTCTTTTGTTTAAATCTTTCGTTGAAGGGATCGATTTGAATCATGTGATTATGGACTGTAATGAGATCTAGGTTGATTACCAGCAAAGGAAACATTTTCGAGGATAGTCGTCACTGTTAGTTCGGACTGTTAGTGACTGCCATTAGCACTATGTGAGTGACAAGTACTTGTCCTGATAATTGTGCCAGCATCGATCCTCTATACATAGAAGATCCGCTTCATCCGGATAACAACGTGGGTCGAAATTGTTTCCGGATATTGCAGTGTGTTAAGGTATGAGGCGTCTGCCCAAATTTTTATTCACGACCATTTTGTACTCCATATCCATATCCATGATCTTATGTAATCGAGCCCAAGCTGACTCATCAAAATTGCCAGGCTTTTGCAGATGCTTATGCAGTTCTTGAGAAGAAGATTCACGCTGTTCCGAATTGTACTGTGGATCTCGCAAGTGGAGCCGCCAACTTCGAATTCCTCCAGACCATCTTGCCGGGTCTCGTGAATACGTAAGCAGAGAGGTTTTATTGTGTAACACGTGCACTGCACAATCTCCAAAAGGAATTTCGAAGGAGGAATTGCAGCGAAAGGTTTGTGAGCTTTAGGAATGGCTTAGCATTGGCTCAGTTTCTTTCACTTCAAAGGTTATCAGACTTCACTTATTTGCATCTTCCTGAGGCATCTGTTTCTATCGAATTTTATGTTATATCTCTTAAATTATATGATTAATTTTATACGAAATGAGATAGCACCGCGCAGCCAGGGCGCGGTCTATGTTTTTCAGAATTTGAAAGCACTAATAATTACAGTTTTCCGAATCTAGAGAAAAGAATATATGTATTCCATGCCTCAGGTTTTTATAGACTTGTGCATCCTGCCTTCCTCAGATGCAGAGTGTTAGGTGATTAAGTCTTTCTTTCTTGGAGTGATTTGGTGGAAGGTGGACTACCTTGCAAGACGACAGTTGCCACAAATGCGAGTCAAGAAAAGAGTTTGTCATTAATATGCAGGTCCTTTCTTTTTACCCCAACATTCTTCCTTGACTTTTCTCCAACTACTTTTCTCATTATGAAATTATTGGTTTGTTCAACTTTGTAATTGTGTCTGAAAAGCTGCATTGATACTCATTTGATGAGGACTTAGCAGTGCCATTTTTCCACATGAACTTTGAATTGGACGTCGTACAAGTTTCTTCTTATTATTCCAACATTTTCCTGTATCTTGGTTAAAGAGGCATGTTGATGCAACGTGGTCCACCACGCTCCGTCAATCTTTACCAAAAAAGATTCATTTTTAAAAATTGAATCTTTAAACTCGATACATCTAGAAGATATATAAGCGTATAGTGGTCATTTGAGTAAATAAGAAACACGTGTATGATGCAATTTTGATAGGCAAAAAAATCACTTAGCCAACCAGATCGTGCAGACCGGAGATTATACTAGTACCAGTCAGTCCAATGAGCTCAACTCAGATTTCAGCTTTTTATTTCAAAATTTGAAGTTGTACCGTTAGGCTAGGAGACAAGGGTCAACCTTTCTCCAAAGATTGGTGCCAGACCTGACAACCTTTTCAATCGATCATCGTTTTTGCTACCCTCGGAATCTTCTTAGACAAGACCCAGTTCTAGTAAGGCAGTACATGACCTCGAGGTGAAACACGTTGAGCTTTAAGATGGGTGATTAAGAAGCAGACGAAAAGATGAACACTTTTTACTTTTTTTTCGATATTGCAGTACATTTGTTGACTTCATGTCTTATTTTCCTCTGGTATGCAGGGTACTTTCGACATCAGCATTTCCAAGTCGTGGAAAAACGAAAGCTTCAGTGGAATCAACAGCTTTCATACAACTCGGAACAAATTTCTGCGCTCAAGGGCACAAGTTCTTGATTAAATTGCAGCACAGTTGTCTTCAAAAAGTGGTAATGTTTCTGTATTGAGACGGCTCAGCTATTCAACCAGATGTGTATCAAATATGATGAGTCTCTCTACCACCTTCTAGAGCTCAGAGATCGAAAAATCTTTACAAGGTGAAATTGGGAACTTCCTATTAAAGTGAGGCACCATGGTTTTCCAAAAGTCTATAAGGGCACGTGATTGTCTGTAGCTCTATGGAAGAAGTTTCGGGTTACACATCGATATGTTACGATCTTGAGTCCACTGATATCGTGATGAAGATATGAAGTATTCTAAGAGTCCAATAGAATGCTTCGGGACTGCTGGAGCTCGTATTTTCTTGGAGTGGATCACCCCAACTCTGTTATTTATTTTCATGGTCTATTTTGAGCATGATCCAATTGAATAAAACCTGTTGAAAGCTTTGAATGCGATGAACATGTGACTAGCATTGATGTCGAATGAGTTTGTTGTGTCAAGGCTGGAGGGCGAAAGGAGGTTTGAAACTGAAGCTTTGAAGCTCGTGTTAAGTCCAATCACGTACTAATCGTTGTGCTAGAAATTTGGAGGGCTTGGTACTCAAGCCGGTGTTGTCTTTCTGATAGTGACGGGTTATGACTATCGAATACAAAGGTTATTTTTAGTAAGCAACGAACAGACTTCCCACATCAGTAAGAGACCAACACATGTGCTGAACTCGGGCTGGGTCGTGTATATTACTTTAAGAAAGACTTTAAGTAAACTAGAGATTTTTATCACTATGTTCTGGATTTTGCATACTAGGAGTATGAGTTGGTATTGTTGAGAAGAGTTCAAAGCTGAGATTTGCCTCTTACCTAGATGTGGAGAGTAGATTTGTGGTTAGGGCGATTGCAGTTCTTGGGCACCAGACCGCAAAATCTTCACGAAATTGTCAGCGACTGATTTATGAAGGGAGAGCGAGTGGGGGTATGTTTTTCTAGTAACCGCTCATCAGCAGAAAGAGATTCCTAAAAAGAGTGCTCCCTTGTGTAAACTGTTTAGAATCTTTTACTTCGGGACAAGACAATACAGGAAAGTTTGAGAATGTCGAAACCTCTTTCTTGTGTAGCGGGAAGAAGTTCTCCTTAGATTAATACGGATGAATTTGACGACGATATAGTTTAGTACCATGTTCATAGGTATTTCAGGGCGATAGTTTGAAGGAAAAGCGTGCAGAGTATCGCCAAGAATCACCAACGTATCCTCTACACCAACAGATATGCTGGATAGAGAACTGAAATGTCTACCGAGTTGTTTCTTGCTCATTTCTGGAAGACAAGAAAATCATCGAGGGACATACAATACAGAGCAGTTTTGCATGACAATAGTTTGGTCATATACGCTGCAAGATGTTAAAGATTATCCATTGTCTATAGATGATATGCGTACATGTGTGCGTTATATTTACAATCCTTGCGTGAGGTCGGGGGTGTGCTGAGATTTAAAAGGCGTGAACAGCCATCAAAATGATTGACTGCTGCCCAGAGACATTAGTACCTTAAAGAATGTGCGATAATTAAATAGGTGACTGTGTACATACAGCGAGAGAGGCACTCCCACGTCTTTGGTCAGAAGTGATACAAGATTTTGTCAAACGGATGATTGCGCAGAAAAGGATGCTCTCTCTCTCTCTCTCTCTCTCTCTCTCTGTATATGATTTTCTTTATCTTCGTACCAAATGTAGAAGTAATTGTGTGAAATAATATCAACTACTGGAGACTCGTCAATTGAGACCAAATAACATACCTGCTGACTGTGAAATGACTCATACAAATAATCATAATGATCATCGTATATGAATTTTTTTTGGAATTGCCTTCGTATTGCAATTTTCGAGAACGTGCAAGGGTGCCAGTATTTGATGCACAAAAGGAGTTTATAGACAGAGCAATGTAATGGTTTATGTACAATTTCTAACTGCCCTCGGTTTGGCTCGACTGCTGGAATGCGAATCTTACCTGCTGAACCAAACGAGGATTAAACAGGCAGAACGCCCGGAGTGGCTACCGTCGAAAAAACCGGATTTTGTCGGACTTACAATGGAACAGAATAATCTCAAGAACTTAGCGCCAACTCCTCTTATGTTGGAGCATTTTGTAAGCATTCCAGACGCGCTCGAATTTGGCAGCCGCATCTGCTCCAACAAAGCATTCAAGAATTTTTACTCAGTACACCTCGGAAACTAGCGAAGTATCATCACGTCTCAGTGAAACATGCTTGGCATACTGCTTCAGTTGCAAGCAGACCTATCGAGCTCGATGATTGGCTGCCAAGATATGACTCACTTATCGGGAATCACTACATACTTCTTGTTAGATACATGGAAACGGATGAAAACGGTTAGAAGAACCCGACCTTTTCCAGGATTGTGATCGGGATGATACTTCAAAGCCATCGTTCGATAGGCAGACTGTACAGCAAAAACTTGGCATGTCAGCAAGATGAACAAGAGTTTTCGAACAAAAAACTCCTCGGATATAGAGAACACAGGTCCAAAGTATGATGCGGGCGACAAGCAGGTAATTTTCACAAAGCTGCAAATAAGATCCTCACCCTGATTTCCACAGGAGAATATGGTTTATCCCTCCTGTTTAGGAACACCACATGTAAACAAGAAAGTCGTCAGTTGCAGTTTAATGACTCCTAGTCTCAACAGACTGCTCTTTAGGTGTTGTCTCGTAAGGCATTCAATGTTTAATCTCCAAGAATTCAAGGCTGATTTGTCCAACAGGCACCTTACGACTGAAGTGGCCCGTTCGATGAAGACCCCATGATGCCTAGTACAACTAGAACAGAACAGGACTGACAGCAAACATCCATCACAACTTTCAAAAGACCAACTCTGCACTATCATGACAGGCAGGACGAGTTGGTCTTAACGTATATTGATGTTCAGTATGCTTAATGCCCATAACAAACTCAACTTGGGCATAAAGGTGATAATTCTCGCAAGCTTTGATAGGGGTATAATTCAGATCAGATTTGCGGTGGAAGCACACACACGACCCAGATATTAGAACGGGTTTAGAGCAGAGAGAAAATAAACCTCTTCAGCCCCAGTATGGTGAACGGATCGTTTCTGTCAACGACCTCAGATGCAGCCTCGGATTTTGGTGGTCCATCCCAATATAGCTTCTCTGCCTGATTTCTCATATCTTGGTACCTTTCGAAATACGTGGACCAGTACGTCTCTTGCCCTTTCTTCTCATCCAACAAATCTTCGTCAGATCTCTTTGTGAAGTTGTCAAGTTCTTACATTTCAGCTTCACCAAACCATATTATTTTATTGATGGCCAGAAATCTCTTGGTGAGATGAGGCTACATAGCGCAATAGACTCAATAATTTCAAGAAAATTCAGTGTTTCCCAATTTTCTCAGCTCTCCGTGATCTTTATCCAACAAAAAAAAGGATGGGTGGAATCAAGAAAGCATCGAATACAAAAAATTCAGTGAGACAGGTGCGGGAAAGCATTGGGAATTGTACCTCTGATTGAGTGAGACGAGAAGCTAAAACTCGCTTAAGTCGAACTGCTGCAACCTGTTTCTTAGTCAAGTTGGCATTAACACTTGGAGGGCTACCTTTCTCTATAACCTTCAAAAGACTTCTATCTTGGATTCCCCTGATCGGACGCATTTCACCCTCCACTATCCAGAACTCTTCTTCTCCCTCCGGAATATCCCTGTAAGCCGCTCTGTGAATACTCTGCGAGAACGAGCCCAAGGTCTGCCAACCTGGACCTGCGTATCTGAGAAATGTAAACAGACCAGCTCGGGCCTGGAGACCTGGCATTTCGAACGATTTTCACCTGTACCAATTCAGTCCGAGTAAACAATCTAAAAATCTCCTAACCCATTCCTCAGATTTCCAATCCACAAACTTCACCTAACCGAAGATCCTCCATCGAGTAGGCAATAATCGCAATTGGTGACAGAGGGCCCTTAAACCCCTCGAATTCTCCGCAGTCGGGTCGATCCAAGCACGAATCAGCCCGTAATTCTCGAACAATCAATCTTGCCCTGCCAACAAGTGTGAAGCCTTCAACTCGTTTCCATTCCCCTTTGGAAATGCGTTAGGGTTGGTGTCCCCTGTGCCAGAACTGGCAGTAGTGCCCCTGTCCCCATCGAACAAAACCCGAAGCCTTTACGGCTCCGCGCTTGACCTCGGACTGACACGTGGCGCGCTCAAGCAGCATGAGGTTTCGGTGCCCCGTTCTTCCCCCGCACCGTGACTGCGCAGTCAGGGCGTCCTAACCACGGTGCTAAGGAGAAAGAACGAGCTACGAGGTAGGTGGTGACGACGTAGCTGGTGCCGATGATCGATGGCCGAAGGCTCGCGTAGAGACAGGACTCGCTTTGAGTCGAATCGCGATGGGCACGGGGATTTTGGTGATGCTCGGTCCCGAATGCGCAAGGGGAGGACGAATTTGAGGTTGAGGATCTTGGGGTCGGGCATGTAGCTTTCGCTGTTTTCGACAGATTCGGGTATGCCGGGGAAGGTCGATCCCGACGATGGGCTGCAGGAGAGACGTGCGGACGTGCATCTTCCCAGCGGTGCACCTCCACGGCAGCAGGATGGCGGGATTTGGCCCCTCGTAGGCGGGAGAAAGATTGGAGAGATAGTTTGTTTTAAATGGGCTGGAGGACGGAGCCATGGAGGATGTCGATTTGAGACTCCATGGATTGTGAAAACTCTCACCAATGTCGGAACCATCGCCGTCCAGCATCTGAAGCAGCAGCACGACGGCTGGACATCTCAGAGTGTCGTTCACGGGCTGCAGAGATCGGTGCGTCCTCCCGGCGCTCAGCTGTCTCCGTCCCAAGATGCTGCATCTGTATTCAAAGCCGAGGGTAAAAGATTCAGCCCTTTCGTTCAAGGCTTTCTGCCGCAAGTGAAGGCTGGAATTCTGAATTTCAGTCAGTGGGGCAAGAAAGGAGAAGCCTCGGATTCTATCTCGAAAGACGAGCTAGGTGAGCTCGAAGAAAGAGCACTAGCACAGGCTTTGGCAAGACGTAAGCCGGCCACAGTAATTGAGTTCTACTCTCCCAGATGTACTCTCTGCAGATCTCTTGTGAGCGTGGTGACACAGTTGGAAAGAAAGCATGAAGATTGGTTGCACATTGTTATGGTCGACGTGGAAAATAAGAGATGGCTTCCAGAGGTTACTTCCTACTCACAATCTCTTTTCTTGATCTTCATACATCCAATTCCTCCCTTTCAAACTCTGCCTAATTTTTATTCTTGAGCACTACTCTAAACTTGCTGACTGACTGATTGACCCGAAGGATCAGCCACTTCTTACTTCTTAGAGGTGTACAGTCGATGCTCCCGTCTCAGTTCTGACAAGTTTCAAATGTGTGTACATGGTTTTTCTTGCCGCAGGTGATGCTGTACGATATAAAATACGTGCCTTGTTTTTTACTTTTAGATTCATATGGTAATGCTTTGGTGAAGACTGGAGTTCCTTATAGTCGAAAACATGTTCTTCAAGGGTTATCCTACATATTGGAGAGTATGAAGCCCATTAAGAACAGGGTGAAGTACTTAAGCAATAATCCAGGTAACGATGAGAATTCATCCTGAGGGATTGTTAACGATATCCAAGCTTCGACGTAAAGATGGAATTGCCTACACGTTATAGAACAATTTTCCCAGGACTGTTGCTTCGCGTTATATACCTTGTTCTAGGCCTATAATCATCACGGGTTTGTTGATTATCAAACTAATTGACACGCCGTAGGATGGTCAAGAGAACTTGCTTTGGTCCTTATCATGGTGAATCAAACCTGGAGAAAGACGGACGAGTTCTGCGCTTCTGCCTGAACTCGTGACTGCATGTGATGGTTTTTCCGCTCAGAGTTCTTTAAACAACAGAGCGAAACGATACTTCAGATATGTCATAATTATGAAGCAAAGTGGCGCATACCCTCTCGGTTTTGAGGGGACTCTGTTATTATTGACGGGGAAACGATTTGAACTTCCAATGGTTACGAAATATCGTTCTTTCATGAAAGCGAATATACTCTAGATTTTATATTTTGATTATTACCGCCATATAGTCATGAGCACGACGAGAGGGCAGGTGACGACACCAATTGAGCAAATTGATTAGTCTCTAGGTATAATTTACACCAGCGAAATAAAAATATCTACATTGCAAGATGCTAAAGAATGCAATGCACTGTAGTTAGATAAATTTATCCTTAGGGATGTAGATTTCAACCAGAGACGAGGAATGTAGTCCTATCATCAAAATGGATTTTTTTGAGTATTTATCTTTGCGTATCATATTTCACAACAATGGGACCATTGGATTCCGTGAAGTTCTTCTAAGTAATGAAGTGGCCCGAATCTACTGTGAATTTACTCTCTGGAGAATGATACACATTGCTTCTCCTGTGACACATCTAATGTGGTTTCACATCAGATATGTTGTTGGTCCACGAGATCATCTCCCATATTGAGGTTCAAAATATATAAGTGTCAGTGGAAGAAATGGGTTTTTCAACATGAAATATGACATTGTCATCAAATATACAAACAGAACTCGAGAACATGCCAAATACAGGATGGGAAGGAATGGTTGTCAGATGGAAGCACTTCACAAAAAACACGCATGGATACATTAGCGCCAAAGGCTGCAACTGGCAATTTTAATTCGAAAATATATTTCCTCATGCGCTTCCTGCTTAACTCCGTCTCAAGATAAGACAAGCGACTTGACCTTGCTTCCCGATCCTTCCTACAATTCCTACTATCTCTGGCTAGACACTTCCAGACGAGATGGTCCGCAAATACCTCACAGAGATGTCAAAGCTTCAACTGTAGCCAATTGCACTTCAAGCGATTGCCAACTGACCTGGAAGCTAAAAATTAGATAATTGGGAAGTCCATGTATTTGTGCGGTGAAGAATATTGTGACTTTTCGTTCATGGACTTCCCTACGTTTCTCAATGTTCGTAAACCTCATAGAGATGCCGGTGCGACACAAAACTCCACTTCTCGAATCGAGGATCCTTCACACGGTCCACTAGTCCACATTCTGTGCAACCAGTTTCTACAGCTCAGGGTAAGATAGCGTTCAGCATCTCATGCAACGGATATGGAAAGCCCAGGCTTCGGTCCGGCCTGATTCCAGTGCAACTGAATTTAGGCCGGACTGGAGACGTAAGGCAACAAAGGAAATTCTTGTCTCTCTATATCAAGAGCGTCTCCACAGGCTAGAGTGTTGTGTGCTCAGAGCTGATCACAGCTTTCGACGGACGAAATCACTAGGCAGCTTGTGCCGCTACTTCTGCTGCAAAATTCTTCTCTTCCCTGCACATCAAGATAACAAATGTTATGTAAGAATAGAAGCGATCCCCAGCCAGTGTTCTCAGAGCTGTTCAGCTTCTTATTTCTTTGGACGGGGACAATATAGACATACCTTTGAATCCCTTCACCAACTTCCATACGTAAAAACCGGCCAATGCTGTATTGTCTTTGCAGTTGCTTCGAGGCATCATTCAACACAGCCTGGACACACACAATGTCACGAGAATGTCATCCGATGATAATCAGGTGCTTGTTACTGATTTCGTTCTTACTCATAAACCCGCATCCTGACTTCTAGGACTGCAATACCTATCCAAGTCATTGTTTCATCCTGCGAAAAGCAAATATGCATCATGTGCACATCGCATAGAACAGCACTCATTCATATAACGAGGCTTGCTCCACGTTAATCTCGTTCAACTCATTCGTTCATAAGAAACATCTAAACACGCTCCAAAGAGGCAGACTCACGATCCTGGCGATGATCATCACAATGAAAATTGCGAAGTACATTGTACGCGTTCAACAACTATTGAGAGAAGAAGAGCATAATCTTACCTGAACAGTTTTAGACTCATCCAAAACATACTTTTGCTGTAACAGTGCCACCTCTTGAACGTACTTACTCAAGCGTCCGGAAACCATCTTCTCAACAACATTTGCAGGTTTACCCGATGCAAGTGCCTGCTCTGATCACTGAAGCGTTCAGAAGAATTGAAAAGGACAGTGCGGCCCTGCTTCCTACAAATCGCATGCAGCAGACAGGACGAATAATACTTCATCTATTGGCAACGATGACGAAGACTATACCTGAGATGTAAGAATGTTGCGTTCATGCTGTAAAGCCTCTTCGGCCACGAGATCTTTAGAAAGGAACAAAGGTCTCTGCGCCACTATATGCATTGCTAATGACTCTCCCAAAGTGGAAAGCTCTGCTGGATCTGAGCCAGATTGGGAGTCTGATGGTGACTCCTGAGGTTCTAATGATAAAAGTCCCACGACTCGGGCAAGACCTGCGACACCGTAATGAGCTCCAAGATTTAGCCAAACATCTGTTAACTTCCATGCCTTAACAACCTGAATCGCTAAAGTCGTAACAAGTATTCAGAGTAGACCAAAGGTACGGTGTAAACATAGCTTGATACATTGTGATAGATATCTAAACAATCTACTTGCCATGAAACCAAACAAATTCCACATACAATTAATCCGTTCTTCATCAGCGAAAAACCGGGTCGTAGAATGGATGAAATTTTAAGATCCTCCCTAATCCTTCGCGAAACGACACAGCATAGATGTGAGAAACGTAAGGAACGGACCACTGTGAGTGCTGGAATGTAGATAAGAATAAACAAATCCCGATGATGAAGACATATGGAAACCCCTTCGGAGCTTGACGTTCTCTCCCATGATCGACGCCACTTCGGCAACTGCGTCAGAAACTGTAGATCGGCCAGAAAGCTTCGGATGACTGAGCTCCACGCTTGCAGACTACAAACCAAGACAAGAAACCCGGCGTTATTCTACAACCGCTTGATTTCCTTCACGCTGATATGCCCGCGTGATGGTAGAGTAACAAAGAAAAGGACACAATTTACGGACCGTCTGTAACTCTAAAGAAGATATACGATCAAGGTTGCTCAGCAGTTCTCACCGGAAACAGGCAAAGCCGAGGTCTAACAGGCAACACAATTGTAGTCTGCTAAATTACCTCAAGTGCTTCCATATTAATGACGGCCGCCTCGCCCGCCGACCCAGGGCTTGATTCCGCCAATAGAGCAGCTTTCGCTACCTGTGATACCAAATGCTGGAATAGGTCATTTCTGGCAACAAAATCAGTCTCGCTATTTATTTCTACCACAGCTGCGGCTCTAGACTCCTGTGCAACTCCCAGAAGACCATCTGCAGCAACTCTCGATGCTTTCTTTCCAGCAGCCGCCAGTCCTTTCTTCCTCAATTCGGTGTAAGCAGCTTCTGCTCAATCACCACAGATCTGTTCGTCAGAGAAACTAGCAAGGCACCTGTACCAGTCGACAATTTTAAACTCAATATAATTTACGCAGTTCATTCAGAGTCATGTGATCAAGTCCTAAGATGAATGAATCTCTTGAGGATCTGTCCGTTTCCTAAACCCTTCTCGAACATGATGCTATATGATGAACATTCACCCAGAAAATTATATTTTGCGTACCTAGCCACAGTCCAAATTCACAGTACAGCAGGTGGAGGGCAAGGACCTAGCCAAATTAAGTTTCACAACTACCAGTTGTGGCACTTAACGAATTGGCAGATTGTCTGAACGGTATGGCTTTACTTCTCCGCTAGATAATTCTAAGTCGGACGTCTTCACTAATTCCCCAAAGACAATTTTGATCTCAATACACCCCCGTAGATTTTATTTGCTCCGTGAGTAACAACCAAAGTATCGGCTCCGGAAGCATTCATCTCTGCAAGCTTTATGTGTCCCGAAAAAAATCCATCCTACCTCTGGCAATTAAAAGACTGATCGGGACACCCCTTAATTAAAGTTACCGTGACCAATTCTCCAAGCTCCTATCGGATCGGCAAAGCAGCACCTCCTAGTTTCAAAGTTTATCCGGACACAATATACCAGAGGGCTGAATTTCGTGACATATCAAATTTTCAAGCGAGTGTACCGAGAGGCGAGTGGGTGCGGAAAGCAAATGCACCTGAATCCCAATCACACTGCACCAGAACAGATTTCACATCCTTCATGGGGGCTCCAGTTCTCTCCCTGAGCTGCCTGATCAGAGCAACAGACGATTCAGGTGCTGAGGATCCAAATGCCCTCACGCCTGTGGGAAGAATTTCCAAATGAGAAATCCGATTTCCGATGTACTGGAAGGCACGAGCGACCGGCTGGGCCAGTCTGCTGCTTGGCCCGGTCATTTTGTGGATTCCTTTGGCCACTGCTCAGCGACGCAACGACACCGAATGGGTTGTCCGAAGTGCGAAACGACGAGCAAAGACACCACCCATTCACAAATTGATCGAGCTGATTTGTCGATCCACAAACCCTAAGGAGCCGAGTGCCTTCCCTCAGAGAAGTTCATTCCCCTGTCATGATTTCAGAACCTGTTTCCTGCGCTAGTGAACGAGAAGCAGGAATCAACGCACAGTTCGGTACTTCAGTAGAGACCACGACTACGGCCACACTCTTACGGGTTTCGGATAATACCACGTACTGTTTCTGTGGTGCGTAGTTCAACACATTTGTTTTTTTTCTTGCAGCTGGAACCAGAGTACATGGTGAGAGAACAATACATCATGTGAATGGCGCTATATGATCATATGTGTAGATCTATGGCTTTTCAATCCTTGATTGATTTATAGTACACTTCTAACACAAATTAAGTAATCGTATGCGTATGTGTGGGGTTCATGGGTGCTATGTTCAATTCATACAATATAGAATAGTAAACTTCTTCTCATTTCAGTTTGGAAGCATTTTGTGTCTGCATGTTGATGAATAAAGTCTGCTTAAATACTGAGTGGATTACATTTTTCAAGCATTGCTGATTAATTCATGTATACAGTGAAATGCTACTAATCTCTGCTATGTAGACTGAAACATGTATTTCTTATGTGTAGAATTTAAGATAATGAAAATAGTAACTGATAATATTTTATAGTTCATGTGATGATACATCAAATGTTAATTAAGGCATTTGAAAGATTACAAGTATTGTTGAAGATGGGATGTTAAGGGGCTTTTAATCTCATCTCGCTAAGACATGGGTTGCAAGTTCGTTGCAGAACAATCTAAAAGAGTGAATCAAATGCTTGGCTAGTTAACTTAACAAGTGTTTATCATTATTAAGTTTACACTAAGTGCTAAGTATTCTCCACAATCTAAAACAACAAAAAGTCTGCAATTTAATAAATGTAAATTTTCATGGTAATAAAGTTATAATGACTTTATTACCATTCTCACCACTAAGAGTTATGGTACTTCTAGAATTGGATGGATCTAATATATATGAATTATCATGAATGTTGTAGGAATGAATTTTGATTTGAAAGTGATTTTTGTATGTAAATTGAATAAAGTGTTTTTATTGATCATTAAAAACAAAAAAAATTTCACAACTTGTTCAATTCATCTAGATGCAATTTTTTTGAATCATGAATTAAACAAAATCTTGATAATTGAAATGTCATCTTGTTTGTTTGGGAAAATACTGCTTCGCTTGTTTAAATCAAAGTTTGTGATCTCAGCTTTATATCATTCTTAAATATATAATCAAACAAAAACTCAATAAAACATTTGAATCTATATTAAGTGCATTCACGTTGAAGTAACAAAAAGCTATCGTTACAATCAAAACAAATTCTACGCTTACTAAATTTGCCGTTCTCTTGTCAACATCCACAATGACATTAATGTATGCCATCACAATATAAAAGCTCAAAATCTTTTGTTCCATAAAAGTATAGTACTTTGGAATTGTTGTGTGCTAAAGTGTTGATGAAAGGTAATCTAATATTTTGTATATATGTTATCAATACTGTTGACTTTTAAGCTTATTTTCAACGTCACATAGTACACAATAGCCAATAACATATGGTTAGTGCTTGTGTTATGGTGGGAACTCCACTCTTTTAAGGAGAAAGATACTTTCATCAACTTGTGAAGATTATCAAGCTCTTTCAAACATCCATTCGTGAGGAGCTCAAATGTATGAATACTAATGAATTTGTTATGATGGCAGACTTTTTTTCCAATCAAAGTTGGTGTTGATCAACTTGGAAGATTATTGAAATCCTTGGAGCACACATTAATCAAAAAATCAAGTGTATGAATACTAATTATAACAATGATAATCAAAAGTATCTTGTATGACAAACAATACAAGAATTAAGAATTGCACATAATGCTTAATTATATAAATTAAGCTAATTTATATAATTTAGACAACCAACTTATATAACCATGTGTGCATATGATCAATGGATTGTGTTATGATGGGTAGGTCTCGGCAAGATAGGATAACGTTTTGCTCATACTTGGTAAATCAGTAAAAAGTAGAGGTAAAATGTAAAGGCTGGGTTATATGTAAGGTAACGGGTAGAGTAAAGATAAAGCTAAATGAATTACATGGTAATTACCGAGTAAACCTTGATCATTGCAAAAGTCCACCACGGACTTCATGGCAAGGAAACTTTTGGAGTCCATCGTCCAATATCTGGAGTAGGAGCAAGGCGGCTGAAATGAGAAGATTCTTGAAGATGGTGTCATTGCCATGCTTCACTAACAATTCTTTGACATTGTTTTTGCCTCCCAACACAACTTCAAATTTGAGTAAAATCACAGTTGTGATATACATAAAGATTGTGTACGGGGTAAACGGTTAAATTATCATTATGTAAAGATAAAAGTAGATAAATCACCATGAGATAAAGATAAAAGTACATAGTAGTGATGCAAGTAAGCTAACTGGTATGGGTAAAAGTAAAGACACATATATTAACCGGTAACCTTTTATCTTACCTTGCCAAAGTCTAATGGTGGGATTTTTTTCCAATAAAAAGTAGTGTAGATCAATTTTTGAGTAATATAAGCATGTTTGCATATGATCAATGGATTGTGTTATGATGATGCTGAATCTTTTTCTTAAAAAAAGCTGTGTAGATCAATTTGTGGGAAATATAAAGATAATTGGAATACCCACTTGTGAGGATTTCAACTTTATGAATTTTAATTATAAGTATGACAATCAAGAAGTTGTTTCACGACAAGGAATACAAAAATCTAGAATTACAGAGAATGAGGGCCAAGCCAGACGATTGGCAACGCCGGTGAACCCTCGTCGATCATTAACAGACCAACTCTTGCTTTATCACACGGGAGAGAGTGGCAATTGATAATATCAGAGGTGGCAAAGAAATTGATTGTTGTGAAGTACCAGGCACTTACTCTTCCTGTTTTTCTTCGATCAATAGACTCCACATGTATTTTGACCCATTTTATGTCAAAATTCCAAAATAAACAATTGCTAGATATAACACTATGTAGTGGTATAGAATGAAATACCTTACAATTGTAATAATCAGCCGCATGTAATCTAATGCTACGATTGATATGTGAGAATCATTCATCGCACCAACCACATACGATATTTCATGAATTTTAAAAAATTCTAAAGCAAATTTGTCCATAGTGGTGATGGAGTGCAATCATATGTATTTTTTGAGTAGAAGCAATTTCATAGTATTAGTGAATTGATTGACAACTTGTTGACTTGTTGACAAACCAATCATGTATAAATTTGCAATGCTCTGCATGGAATTATCAATGGCCAATCTTGAGATTAATACCTCCATTTTCACTTGAACTAGTACAACCATCCACATGTTGATATCTTGTCTCTCCAATGAAGGCTCGAGAATGAAACACAAAGACCAAAATGTAGAAATATCCATCCGCATGCGACTCTTGAACTCCCTTGCATTGAATGAGTCGAGCAAATTTTCATCAAAGAATTCGGGTTGCCCCAAACCTCTATCATGTACCCATAAACGTCAAGACCTAGTCACACTTTCTAGCATGAATCTCTGTACCATAATAGATATGCAACACGTTTGTTGCCAATACCACATCAAAATGATACATTCATCTATCTCAAGACATTCCATCGTCCAAAACAATGTGAATTGCAATATTTAAGAAGAAAAATGAGACTGTGAACATCATTCTTCACTGTGGTAGCCTACGAGAAGAAAGTGAAGATTGCGATGAAACACATGAATTTGAGTTATTGGAGTATAAGGTGGTATTCTCCTCTATCTCGATGTACTAGATTTCTGTTGGAAGCTCCTTTTCACTCCCAAGACATTGACGAGGTTGTGGTAGAGATAACAATATTATCTCCAACTAGCCGACTGAGTCTTACGAAAACCAGGATAAACCCTAGCTAGGAGCTTAGTGCCATCCGCAGGTTATGTGACAGTGGCCTGAATCTTCTTGATCATTCTAACATTATCACATTAAATCATTGTTTCTTTTCACAACATACAATAATGAATCAAGTACAAAAACTTACAACCCAAACTAGAATCACAGTGTGTAATTTGCATATGATATTTGCATCCACACAAATTTCTTTAATTTAACTAATATAGTTTTGTAAGTACAATAGTTTATGAGTGTATGTTACAACTACCAACTGATTTGTGAAATATATATAAAAAACTATAGAAAGTTTAGGAGAAATCATTCATGTTTCAAATTCTACAAAAATGATGTTCATAGCATAGAGTTGATTTTTAGATTATAGTAAATACATGTTTGTTTACAAGAGATTGATCTATCTAGAACACCAAACTTTCATCTTCAATATAGTGGATCTTATATGGAAAATTCTCGTGTTGAAGAATTTATCCATTCTATAACGCCAAAGTTCAACTAAGTGATTCTTTTATGTAAGGTGCTCGCCTGACGTGTTGGATATGAGTAGTTGGTTTCGCTGTTCGTTGGGTCATCAACTCTTGTGATCATAATGGACCTAGACCCATAGTATACCTCCCCTCCCCTTGATTTAATCCGATTTGTGGGATACTCCAATGGCCTTATTACTCGGTTTTCGCGACTTGACACCGAAGCAATTGTCACTTGATCTGATCTTGTCCGGCTGGAGAACGTGAAGCACATTCATCATGTGAGTAAGGAGGCTGAGTATCGCGACGCCATGTAAGACGACACATGTACCGAATTTAACACCGAAGTTCTAAGCGCAGCAACAGAACACCAGCTAACATTTCTGTGCTGCTGGTTTGCATCAATCGAGGGAGGTTTGACAGTCCAAAATTTCATCGCTGTGAAATCTCCTTCACCCCAAATCCTTCACTCTGGTTAGTGTGTCGCATCACACAGCTTACGCACTGCACTGTAAATATGTACCGGGCTTCGATGATTTTCCCTGAAACCGCGGCCTCAATTGGGTTCGAGTGGGGATCAAGTGTGCGGTGATTCCCAACATTTTATTTAATCAATTTTTTCTTGATCTGCAATCAGACACACTGGTCTCAATTCTGCAGTGCCCTCATACAGACGAGCAGAGAGGGTCAGATTGACGGATATGTGATCGCCCATTTCCGGGAGCTACTCAAATTCGGAGGACGACGAAGACTTCAAACTTCCTGAATAGTTCTGCAGGATTCATCTGATGTGGAAAATGATGAGTGTGAACTTATCTAGTCGCTGTTGATTTGACTACCATGGAGAAGTTGGATTGTTTAGACTCAATGGTTATGGCCGTAGATGGTGACGAGTATTGCGGCATAGTTCAAAATCCTCTATACTTTTGATCCATCTGTTGGTGGTGGAGACTCGGAAGAAGTGATGGATAGAATTTGGGCAGAAGTTTTGAGACCTGCCCAGCTGACAGGAGCCGGGCGGCCTATTTTCCATCCCAATGAGATCGAGTGTCAGTTGGTAGATGGTGTGGAAATGCAGCTGGAGACTGTACCAAATGCTCCTTCCTTTCGCAACGTAGTAGTCATCCTAACTACTCATCGAATTGTATGTGTGGATGAGAATTCGAAGAACGCTGGTGCTATAGCTTTGGGAGCTGTGTGCCGTGTCTTCCCCCCGAAAAAAACACTGAAGAGCATGTTCGTTGCTTCTCGAATGAGAATTCAGTTGTGGACTAAGAATGGATCGGTTGCGGATGGAGCAAATTCTGCCACAGAGTCAGCTATCGTTCTAGTTATGATCTTTCGCGGTCAAACATCTTCCGATTCCTTCATCTCAAAACTGGGAGAGGTAATTGAGGCCAAGGCATGGGAAGCAGATATCAAGAATGTTAGGGTTGTGGCTCAACAGTCTATAGCCGGGGGACCAGCTGGAAACAGCCACTCCGTACGTGGACCTGCGGACCAACTTGGCAGTGTGCCCCTAGTGCGGAAGCTTAATCCTGCTATGGCAGGCGTTTCAGGTATATTACGTAAAGAAAAGGAGCAGTTGGACGAGGCTGATAAAAATTTACAGGAGGCTTTTTCAGACTTGAATGCTTTGATGGTGAGCTACTCCCTGACTTGTGAGATTCCGCTATTGCTTATCGCCGTCACTGATAACGATGATGAGATTTCTTTCAAGCCAAGCAATTCATATTCAAAATCCGAGTCTACCTGGAGCTATCGTACTATTTATAACAGAGTCAAACTCAGCTAACAAAACTTTCAGCTTAGAAGACAGTTGAGATACTTGCATGTGTATTGAGTGACCTGGGAAGAGTTGAAGGGCATGAACTGATTATAGAGCTACTCTATGCAGGGAAATTGTGCATTTAGCAACTAAAGAATTGATTTGTGCTTGAAACTGGATGCTATTTGTTTCTGGTTTTCAACTGACCATGCTTTTGTGCAAGCTGTCGTTAAAGCTTTTAGAGCGATACAGATCATTCTGTGCAACTGTACTCCTGCTGCAACCTTTCATGCTCACTAGCGTCTCCTACGAATGCAAAATATTTAGTACACATGGAGAATCTTATTTATCTCCCACATCACATACTTTGAGACGGTTTTCGTCATATAATTTGCTCTCAAAAGCTATGAAAACCATGGAGATCGTTTTGATGTAAGGTAGATCATACCGTCTGGAAAATCCCTGATTGTTTAAACCCAAATCTGAATGGACTTATCCATTTAAGAATATCGAGCCATGTGCGGCAAAAAGTAGGAGGGGAAATGGATCATCAGTTTTCAGACACTAAAATCACACGATTGGACCTTTGTAAGATGCATGCCCGGCTTTATCCAGGGGTCTTGTTACGGTTATCATATGGTCACAAAACTAAATCTTTCCTTCACCCATGTTGTGAATTATCAACGAAACTGTTTCAACGGAAATGCGTAATTTTCTGATTAATGTTAAGGACATTGAAACTGTTTGCCGTGTAAACCTTCTGAGAAGATCTGTTGACTGTCCTTGTTGGCATTTGAAGCAATAAGTGACCCTACTTCTTATGCTATGAGATCTACTCCACAGTTAGTAGTTGACACCTTTCCTGAGTGTAGCATCAATAAGTACTCATGTTGGAAACTGTACTGTGAGTAGAGCAAAGCCAAGGAGATGGTCAGCCTAGCAGAGAGAATGCGAATCAAGTTATTAGCAGCTCCCAGTCAGCAAATGTCAGCTGCAGACGACGAGGAGATGGGAAAACAAGAAATGCAGGATTGGTTACTTAGTGTGGGTATAGTTTCTCCAGTTACGAAGGAATCTGCGGGAGCACTTTATCATCAACAACTTGCTCGTCAGGTATGAACAGCATTCCATGTTGATATATTAAAAGTCATGTGGACCACCTTTTTTTCGATTGTTAACGAAAGAGATTCCCATAACCTATTGGATGTGCTGTATTTTGAGTAGAGTCATGAAGTTAACGTAGGAGTAGAAGAAGACCAGATTCTTGCTCCGATTGATTAAAGATGTACGAGAGCAGAGTCAGAGAAGAACGTCGCCAAGTTTCTTAATTTTGAAACTTTCTTGAAACAACCAACATCTGGCTGGAATTGTCTCGCTTACCATAAGCAGTCAATTTACCCCACGAACTCGTAATCTATCGAGGGCAGAAAAACTTTCCTGCACGCTGAACCATTGAAATTGAATGTCACTAAGACGAATAGATGAGCTTGGAAAAGGTTGTGTCATTAGCTGTAAATTTTACACTCATCTCATTTGAGGAACACAGTCACTACAAGAAAGATCTTCTCTTAACTTGTAAGAAGTCTCCCCTCTGTTAGTCGAAGTACTTATTGTCTTCATACTAGCACCGCCCACCCGTGGGGTCTGTTTTCTTCAACCTAGTACAGGCACATACAAAGGCACGTACAGTACAATTACGTCGCCAGACCTTTGGACTCCTGTATTCATTAAGGTTGGATATCGTAGGATGAATAGGGCTTTGCTCTGGATCTGAACTTGGAGTTCTTTATGTCTCGTATGCAGAAGGAACCGTATTTCTTTCGGTCCGTCAAGCAAATATCCTCTTCGCATGCTACTGACCACCACGTCAAACTGATTCTGCTTCTAAGTGCCGTTAAAAGATCCGAGAATTCTGATGGTTGCATAATCTTGACTAATCTGTCTCGACCTCTTAGCGTTAAGGTTAGCATGCATGAAATGTAATTGATTCATTTCGAGTAATTGTACTATTGGTTGGTTTTTACGCACAGCTTGCAGATTTTGTGAAAGTACCCTTGCAGAAGTCGGGGGGAATGCTAGCAATGGTAGATGTCTATTGCCTTTTCAACCGGGCTCGTGGCACAGGTTAGTAAATAGTCATTTCGGGCTCTGTCCATGTGCAGTGTTTGCCCATTATCTGCTTGGTGCAATTATATTATTTTGACCACACAGTATCCAACTCAAACTGATGTGGGATTAATTTTGATATCGTTTGAAAGATAGAAGATTTTTTTTTTTAACAGATATTTTCAATCTTTGTGCGTTGCATGCCTTGCACTTCTGATACACAGAGCTTATTTCGCCGGAAGATCTCCTCCAAGCATGTACTATATGGGCGAGCATTGATGTGTAAGAATTAATGCTTTCCTTCACTTTGCATATCGCAATTCATAAACCTTAGAGAATAAGCTGTGTCATATTTACACCGAGTTTTTATCTACATCGAGCCTGTCATGGAGGATGTAACGAAGTGTATGTGAGTTTGCAGACCAGTAGCAATGAGGCGATTCGACAGTGGAGTTGTTGTCATCCAATCTAAAAGTCACAACGATGAGGAGGTGGGTGTATGATTTCCACTTTTTGTTAGCTTCCCGTGACGATCGAGAACTTTTTGAACTTGACTCTAAAGCACTCTCTACTTAAGTTCGGCCACATTTTACTTTCCTTTTCTTCTTGTCGATGTATATGTTTATATGTATACATGTTTTTATAATCGTGTTATACGGGCATGCCCTCTCTGATAGGTATGTGCTAATTATTCTGCTTTTTGCTTTTTTTAGTAATGTATGCAGTGAAGTGACTATCAGCTTTGTGCCTATTTTTCTTCGTCTTCACACAGTGTTAATTCCAGTCGAACAATATTCCCTGATTTCTCTTATATTTTGTTTTCGATCAGCCATTCTGTTCTTTTCATAGGTAGATAGTAGTTCTAAGCAAATTTTTTACATAGGTAGGGGCGACATTTATTGTTTTCTCCTTGGCTTGTTGGGCTGAGTTATCCTCGGCCTCCGCGTGGTTTATTGGCGAAACCTATGCACCTTGGTATCCACTGATGAAGCAGCCGAGTCTAAGTGACGGAAAATTGACGTTCCGTTTAACAATGTCTAATTGGAGGCCTTTTTCCGCGTTAGACTCTTAATTCTTCCAGCACTGTGAATTTGACAGCTGGTCCTGCCTAAACTGCCTATTACATTCCACCGTTCTATTGCGTGGTTTTTTCCACTTCGGCATTCATAAGTCTATGATTCTGTCCCATTTCAGTCACTGCATGACCTTTCTCAGATTTTGTCATTGTCTTCATGCTTCCATCTGGTATCTTCGTTGGCACCCCTGCGACTTACCACCTAGACTTCAGTTGCTGTACTACGTAATCGAAAGTTGTATTAGTCCATTTTTTGAAAAATGATCTGCCCTACGTAAGCAGGTGAGTATGCGGTTGGAGATCCTTGTGAAACAGCCTGATGCAATGAGACAAGGAATCAGTGCGACCGATGCTGCCCGTGCTTTAGGTTTAGCCCCTGCGCTTGCCAAAGAGCATCTGCTTGCGGCAGAAATGAGAGGTAAATTTCAGAAGTATAATGAAGATTGCTGTCGTGTTTGTCTTTGAATTAGCTGTTTGTGACATTTGTCATTCTACCTACTACATATCATTCTATTCCTATTCATGTCTAATTGTGGCTGCGGTCAATATATACCTCATTTGGTGAGTACAAGCTGGTAGATTCTTGGTGCCAGATTGTACTGTTTGCACTTGTGGTCGACTGAGCTAGAATGCATGCAAAGTATGTTCTTAAATTTTGTTGAGAGAAGGTTCGCGTCCACGGTTCATATGTTCTGCTTTCGTTAGGACGTTTCGTTTCTTCTCAAGCGGAAATGAGACTGTATTGCAATGAGGTCCTTATGAGTAGCTGCATCTCTTCTAATATCTTTAGTTGTGTCCAAATGGCTTTCCTCCTTGAACTAATAATGCGGTTAGCTCCCCTGATACTTTTCCATACCGCATAGAGCTTGCTTGTTACACGTCGAATAGTTTCTATACGAAGATGAGAGGCATGTGTAGCTGTAGATACTGATTTCTGTCGAGTGAATGGGTACAGGTCAGTTGTGTCGAGACGATGGAGCAGATGGTCTTCGCTTCTTTCTCAACATTCTTGTTCAAGTGGACATCACCAAAGCATTCCAATAAATGTTCAAACGACTTCAAATTTTACGAATTCATATCTCAGATACAGGTTTATCGCTTGCCTACGTAGTCATGTACAGTTATGGCACATTTTTTCGCATTCGGATCGGACTGTAACTGGATACCACGTTATTAGGAGGCTCCACCCTCTAATGTTGTTACTTTAAATGTTCATATTTTCTCATGTTTGAAATTCCGGTCTCAGCTTCACACAAAGTCGGCAAATTGGCCTCTCAATGTCTAAGCTAGAAAGCTGGTGCTCCGTGAATATTTAGCAATACGGAGTTGAATGTTTCAACTGCTTTGCAAACATTACCTTCTCAGTCTTAGATTCAGAAGTGATTACGAACATCAATAGATCTAGTTTGTTGTTAGCAAGCGTGGGGTCCTTGACGGCTCTCATGGGACGCTTGAATTAGATTTAAGTTCTTACATCCTGGAGATTCAAATGTTCAGAAAAACGGTAATGAGGATCAGAGCCAAAAATGTTGATGTTATATTATTTGGAGAAACTTTGCTAGATTTAAAAAGCAGTTTGACTTGATTTCCCTTCTGAAAAGGTTGAACGAGCCTCAGTCTTCTGTCCGCTATTCATGTTTGTACCTTATGTATATAGAAATTCTGCAACCACACCACTACACCGTTGGTGACCTTTAAGGCAGTGTGGCTTATGGTAGCCGAGTCCCTATTCACCCGGAATCGGAGTAAACAGGTCGACAAGATTTCATGATCACCACTATAACCGTCATTTTTTGGGTGGTCGGAGACCATAGAAACGAGTTTGAAGTTAATCTTACGACCTGCCTTGGTTTCTCTGCCTCTTGCTTCATGTACCTTTATCAACTCCAAGCCAGCGTATATTGAGCATATTTGAATCTCAAGAACATCTTGGCTTTAACACAACGTCCTTAATTTTATGTCATGTGCTGTTTGGTTATCTGTCGCGAATACATGATAATTTTCATGTCTTTAGTATTTTGAATTCCAGTCTCAAAACTGTCTCTTTCACTGGATGATTTGGAATCCTGATAACTTGACATCCCATATAATAAGTTTTTCCGGAATTTCATGCTATATATATGTTGAGATAGATGTCAGATGAATGTGTTGTAGAACAGTATGGACCCCATCTATATTTGAATTTGAAATTTAATAATCAATGTTTTATTTCAGTTTTCTTTATGATTAACGAAGATCCTGGAAGTAAAGACTATTCTTGATGTGAACTCTTTTTTCTCCAGTCGTTGACCTGGTAGTAACTATCTTCCGAAGTAAACGACTATATTGTGTAATATATATCCATTAAGCCTCGAATTCAATTTTCTGAACGCATGCCGCATTATGTAACCTTGTTTATCTCTATCTATTATGTAGATTTTGGTTATTACGCCTCATAACATACTATCTGACTTTAGGATATGTAGATTTTGGTTATTCGCCTCATGACATACTATCTGACTTTAGAATATGTAGATTTTGGTTATTATACCTCATGACATACTGTCTGACTTTAGGAAATGACAAGTGTATGACGGAAGTGAGAACGGAGGGATACATGAGAGGGTAATTCACGGTACCAGCATCGCACTACGTAGAATAGAGTCAATACCGTTCTGTGCATACGTCGGAACCTTGTTCCACGTAAGGAAACCTCTTTGAACTAACGTCACTCCCTAGCGTACGGGGAATCCGGACTGACATTTCACTCTGTCACGGGACTGGAGAAAATTATACATCGAAGGCAGTTCTCTAACCTGTCCACAATCCAGAGAGTAACACAAATAAAAGAGGTTCACGCAAGATATAAACTATGTATGGAATGGAAAAATGTGTAATGTTATCCATCATTATATTGAGGGTGAACGTCTGCTGCAGGCAAGCTCTAAGTAACTGCTTAAATCTATTTGTCATCTGCAGGCAGAGAAGGAAGGGATTTAGTGGTTGGTGTGCGTTGTAATGAATGAGTCACCCGGAAATATGAACGTAGACCTTGTATGGGTGCCTTCCATATTATTCCGATCATACTACCCACAAGCAAGAAGGTTCGAGCGAGCAGAGCAGAGCCGTGCCATCTGTACAACTGGCCGCTGGCCTGACGACCGGTTCGTTACGTGCCGGAGAAGTGCTGTTATTTGATGCATGACCACCACAAGGCGTCAAAATCTGTATATTGTCATGCAGCAGAAGCCGAAGCATGTATTGCAAACCAACTTGTGTGAAGAATCTACACAGATCACAGGTCCTACAGTTGCCCGACCATCCTCTGAAATTAGACCGACCGTCTTATAATACTCGACTGGCTGGCCGGCAGGTATTTCCCTTTTTTGCTCTCTGACTGACTGACATACCACCTGTCAGATTATGGCTTTTCCATTCTTACCTAAGGCTGGTCCAAACTCGAACGGGAGTTTGTTTTGGCACCGGCGCACGACTCTCCCTCTCCCGGGACTTTGCTGCTAGTGAGAGCGTAGCTCGCTCAGACCTCCAATCACACGTAGCTGTACCAGTACTGGTACGTACTAGTACAGTAGTCGTATAAACACAGGCCCCCCAGGTCCCGCTACGGTCCAACATGCCCCAGTTGTTTTCAAGCAGGTGGAGGATGAGGACGAGGAGGAAATACCAAACGAAGAATCTCGTGTTGTCGACATATCCGCCCAGTAATCAGAGATGCATCATCCTAATCCACTTCTCGGGTTCTGAAGTTGTCATCGACTTTTCTTCTCAGGTCGGAAATTGCAAATCTGTCTGCCTTTCTCTGACTCCCGGAGCAAAATGTACGCGCGCATGCTTTTCTGGCCGAGAGAGAGGGGATTGAGATCGTTTCAGTGGAGTAAACAGAGCCCTGTTAGCATGATGATGATGATATTGTTGTTGATGATGATGGAGGAGCTGAAGAAGAGCGAGATCGAGCCAATAGCGTCAGACGTCACGAAAGCTCCTTCGAGGAGGAGGCGGTCACGACTCACAAGAGTTTCTCAGCGCGACCGTAGTGCGCATGCATGCCTCCCCCTCTCTCTCTCTCTCTCTCTCTCTCCCTCTCCCTTCGTCAGGCCGTGCGTCGAGATTCCAAAGGCCGGAACTTTATCCGCGGGGCTGGGCTCGCCTCGAAGGGGCCGAGAGAATCTACCAGACATGGAAAATTCTGCAATCTCACGTAAAAAGGGGTCAAAGCAGAGCATCGCCTCGGAACGGATCCGTGAAGGAAGCGAGCGGCAGGCAGAGGCGAGCATGCCTGGGACATCGGGGCCGGGGTTGGGGTGGAGTGTTGACCCTGATCAGAGTAGGACTCTTTGACTTTCCTAGATCCATAACGACGACTGGACTCGGTCAATCGCTTGACCCGAGGGGCGACGAGATCCTTTGACGGTGCACGTACACTGGCTTCGGAATGATGGCAAATGGGCTGCCCGCGACCACTGACAACTGCTGCTGCTGCTGCTGCTTCTTCTCCTTCTTCTTCCGCAACGGCCAATGTCGAGCTCTCGTCTTCAAGAAAGATCGAGCAATCGTCCGCGTTCTGAGTGCTGATGCTTTGTTCCCCTGGTCACCTGATGGACCGAATATCATGCATGGATCTGGGCTCGATCCGGCTTTTGCGTGCAGAGCTCCGGAGTACAGGTGATAATTATGGATAGAAAATGATATCATAGTTTTCCAGCTTGTGATTGATCGGAGTCCAGATTACACGCGGCGAGAGGCAACTAATCATAGCAGCAGTAGCGTGGATAGAAAACTCTTGTACAGCACGCAGATCTCGGAGAATATCCCTTACATCAGCTCTGATACAACAATCTCTCTCTCTGATAACGAGGGAATTATGAATCGACGAGAGATCAGGCGCGCCCTCGCCCATTGCCCCGCCAGATCGGCGGAGGACAGCGCTCGAGGCGGGAAATCGAAGGCACAGCTTCCATCTCTGCTACGTTCGCACCTCCTTCTCAGATTGCGTGTATGTTTCGAGGGTGCCAGCGGGAGTGCAGACAAGGATCCTTCGAATATCTGGAGCCGATCTACGCTTCACGAGACGAATCATGTGGAACTTTGGCTTGCGTACATACACTTCTCGGTTGGGAATCGAGATGCAAACTGAACGATATATTCCGAATCGCTGCTGACAACTATCATGCTGCACATCACCATGTGTTCTGTTATACCACAACGAACCTGGTTCTCTCTACAGAGATACTTCGCATTCTTTAATGAACAATCTGATGTGATCCACTTCTGTGTAGATAAGCATTTATAATCTTTATGTTTTCCTTCTTTCCAATGTCAGTAAGTTTTCAGCATTTAATTTGCACATTTTTCTAAGTTTGGATGTTTTAGGTATGTTAACGTCTTTTTTTTTTGAAAGATGGATAGCTTTTTTTAGCAAAAAAAAAAATCTTCATTTGAATTGTTTTATATTTAAATATTTTTCATTATCAATTGGAACAAGTGGAAAGATTTGAATTTGATTTCAAAAGATAAATATTTTTTTCTTGAATCCAAACCAAATCAACTATAATTTTTGATCAAATTCTTGCAATTTTTTAAATTTTAAACTTCAATATGTTACGGACATGATGTTCATAAGCTATTTAATTTTAAATATGTATATATACATGTACATTTTTTATGATATTAAAAGTACAGATCAATATGAAATTATTGTTCAATTATTTTTTAAATAAGTTGAATTTTTCTACTATAATTAGTAAAAATCTATAAATGAAATTCAATTGTGAAACTCACAAGAAAATTTCATAGTAGTGAACAGTACTTTAAATTAAGTATCGTCCATAAATTTAATTTTTTTCTTTACAAAAAAATTACCAAAAAGTAATAAAAAGTATAATCAATTTTATTATTTAAATATTTGATAAAATATAATCATTATATTCAAAATCACAAGCAATAATTGATGAAACAAACTTACCAAATTAAACATTAAATATACGACATGATTGATGGATGTATTTTTTGAAGAAAATTTTGATATATAAATTTTTGATTTTTTATTACATTTTTTTAATAATTTAAAAATTTGAAATATACTTCAGTGAAAATCACTCCAAAGTTCACAATTCCAAGGAGAAAATCATTTGATGGAACCCAGTGCAACACACATAGTTTATTGGAATCCATTGAGTATCATTTGTCTCGATGAAACTCCACCAACAAGATGCTGTTACTCTAGTATTGACTAGAGACTTGTTAATGTTGCGATGAGAGCATAAATCTAGTGGGTTCTTAAAGTTAGTCCCACATCTTAAATTGAGTCCTATGTGTCCTTGCTGCAAAAAAGAACCATCATATACTCCTCCACACCTTTAGCAAAGCACTGCAATTTGTTCTCAATGTCGGATTTGAAGTCTAAACATCCGTCAAAAGAACAATCTCTACTTACGCAAGGTTTCAAACTATGGTTCGACATTAGTTTTCAACACAAACTTCAGCTTCTCTTTTTAGAGGAAATATTAGACTTATTAGAGCACAGTCCAAATTTCTGTGCATAGAATATGCTACATTACAGTCTCAAACAAACCAAGAACCAAAAGAATCAAGTACCCATCCCATAGATGCATCCGTTGCAACAAAAAAGATTTTTGAGTTGATACTAGAACATGGATGACGGCACATCATTAGTGGAGTGCCATTGGATAAAATGATACTTGAAGTATTCAACTAAGCTATGTGTGTTACTCAAGGGTCCGATCAAGTAATAAGTGTGTAAAAGAGTATGATGATTACATTTAGTGATTACATTTGAAAATTTTAAGAAATAATTCTAATGCAAAGTAGTTGTCAAAGATATTGGATTTTTACTTGAAATTAATAAACTTCAAGATGAAGGAATTTGACACAAAGGTCCAAAATCATGTTGATGCGTTTGAATATCATGTCATCGATCTTCAAAATATTTGAGAGTAGATAAGTGATGAGAATAAAAAAATTCATCTATTAAATTCATTGCATGCTTCATATCAATCACGATATTTCATTTCATCATGATACAATATAACAAGCTCAATCATATTTACAAAATGTTACACATACAATCACTAACAACAAAAAATGAAATTGTTATTTTTTTGTCATTTTTTGTCTACATGGCAATGAATGTGACTCGAGCTCGATCATATATACAAAATAACAAGTATGACAAACTTTTGGATGTAAGTATAGGTCTAAGTGAAGTTTACATTTGTAGAAAGTAAAACAATTATATGTTAAAAATGTAGCAAGAATGGAAACTTCAAGAAGTATTGTCATTTGAATATAAAAATAATGGCTTATTTTTTTATTTATGTCTTAAAATTTTGATCATGAGGAGTATGATTTACTGTAAAATATTCTATGATGACAAATGTATGTCTTATGCAATTCATTAAGGGATGTCACATTAATTAATTAATTAATCACATCAAATGATAATGTTTGTTTTGATCACATTTATTATATTAAATTTTTTTGGATATTTTTTCATATCAAATAACACAGTTTTCATGACTAACAATCAACCTTGTAAGATTGAAAATATTGAATTTTTAAAATTTAATGAATCCATCATACATTGATTCAAGTTAGATTTGTACAAAATATGAAAAAAAAATATAATTTTTTATGAATGTTTGATTTGATATATCTATAATGAAACTCTAGAAAGTTAGTGTTAGACGTGGCAATACATAATAAAATTATGTTAAAATTTCATAAGCACAAGGTTTGATATATGTTTGAGGCATTATCATTTGTGATGAAGCCAATTTTCCTACTTATAAAGTTGAAATGTCTCATGTATGATACTTTAGGCTAGAATACATGAATAATGAATACTTGATATTATTTGACAATAAGAACTTGTTACATGAAAAAAAATAAAGTTGATTTGAAATTTTGTGAATATTGTATTATGTAGAACCATCATAGTCAAGTTTTTAGGGTTATAACTCCAATTTAAACAAATTAGTTGAATATGTACACAAGAAAACTGCCTTCAACATCTCACCCTATGAAAATTTGTAATATGTATCTTTTATTGATTATTATTCAAGGTTTGTATGTATTTTGTTTTTACACCTTATAAAAGTTAGAAAATACAAGTTGAGATTAAAACCAAACAAAAAGTGAGATATTTACATACAAATAATAATAGGAAGTATACATTGGGGTAATTTCAAAGTTTTTGCAAATAATAGTAAATTTTTAGTTATCTTATCACGGTTTATAATCTGCAACAAAATGTTGTTTCTAAGACTTTCAATGAACAATGTTGGAAAAAATGCCTAGTATGTTAAATCAATCAAGTAAATCAAATGAATTTTAAGCTGAATTTTTCATAAGTATATTTGATAATATTTTTCTTCTTTTAGTGCAATAAAAGTCTTCACTGTTTGAATTGGATCATGAACAAAAATGGACTGACAATAGTTGTTTAAGATTTTTTTGTTGTATGGTGTATATTTTCAGATCCACATAATATACTATCAAGATGTATTCTACATTCATAAAATGTTATTTTTTAAGTATGATATTGATGTAAAGGATTATAAGCTATGAGATGTTGTGACATATAAAATTATTGTATGTATGTATTTTTACTTTTAATAATTCCATATTATTGAAAGAAAGTAAGATTTTTTTGTCTTCTTATACTAACAACAATATATTTAAACTCACTTATGTTTTTTGGTAAAATTGATCATTATGTGATTAATTATATGACCCAAGAAGAAACTCCAATTCATATGAACCAAATTTATGAAAAGCAACAATTAGAAAAGCAAGTTATTGTTGATGAGTTTAAAGTATCTACACAAGATAATAAAGATTAATCATAAATATCCACCATGAAATCATCAAATCAAATTAGTATGACTCATGTACAGTATGGACTATGGACTGATTTCTCCATTGTTAAAAATTGTGATATTGATTCTAATATGATGATGACATTGCGCTGATTTTAGATGAAAAGTACCGTATTTTTTAAGTAGTTTAAGCCTCTGTTTATAAGCTTGAATGAAATGTTATTATGAAATGTGGGTTGCAAACGTGATGAATAACAAGAACTAGAAGCTACAAAAGCTTCAAAAAATCAAACTTTGATTGATTGCAAATGATTATACAAGCTGAAGTTTAATCTAGTATATCTTGAGAGGAAAATTTTCAAATCCAGGTTGATAATAAAAGACTTCACACAAGAAAAAGGTGTGATGTCTAACAAATTTTTCTCATTTGTAGCAAAGTATGTTAAGATATGACTAATATGTGACTTGTCACAATATTTATATATTTGTTGATGTGCATAAGACCTGATATTGCTTTAATTATGAACAAAATGAGCGGTTATATGTGAAATATAGAAAAGATGCATTAAGAAGTCAATGAAATGAATTTTCAAGTACTTTAAGAATACTAAGTATTTTGATAAATTATTCGATGATTTATTATTGAATGAAATTTTTTGCTAAACTAAGTTGATCTTGATTATGGATTTAAATTGAGTATGTGTTTACATTTGATGATGAGATCTATTTTGCAAAAATGTGTCGTTCAATCCACAACAGAAGTTGAATATGTAAGAGTAACAAAGAAAGCTTTTAATTGAATGAACTTATTAATGAAATGAGATATATAATATTAAGTTTTAAATCATTATTTTGATATATTAAAGTGCATTTAATTTTTCTATAAATCAAATAATTGAAACTAGATTGAAACATATCAACATATGGAATTAATTTATTGAAGATGCACTCTTTTATAAAAAGTGTTGAACTAGTCAATATTGACAGTAAACTCAATCGAAACAATGTGCCGATCAAAATTACTCTATTGGAAAATTTTAGTAGACATTGTGCTACTATTCAAGTTTCACTTCAGAAACACGAGTAGAATTTATTAGCAAATTTTGTTACTTTCATATATTTTTACACTTTCAAATGTTGGCTACAACTTAGTTATAACTCTAGTGTATAGAATTACCTATATTAGATTGTATTATAAAATTTTCTGTGGAGTAATTATATAGGTTAAAGAGATTATTATCCCAACAACATAGTTTAAGTTAAGATTGTGAATTTAAGTTGAAGTAGTATCGGATAATCCAGATTTATGATTTTTTCTAGATTTAGAATTTTGCACTGACATGTATATTATGAAGTTTATGTGATGATGATGTGATCACCTCAAACATTGTATATAGATTTTTTAGTAAAACCTCATGCACTGGTGTACATAATTAAGGTACTCAATTTATAAAAAATTATGATCTGAAATTTTTATCTTTCCAATTTTGTTAA